GCAGCCCCATCCAGTGCTTATACTTCGCCATTTGCACTCCCGGTTGCTTCCCATCTGATGGGTACTCCTCTGGCAAGACAGTCAGACGCGTATGGTCCCAGCCGCTCATCAAACGCTCTCTTAGTGCCGTTATTATCGCTCCTTCTGGTAGAGGTCTACTCAACAACCAGTCAACCCTAGGTATATAACGCCGTCCCTTGCACGCTCTGTTAGCCGCCAGTGCCCAACAGCAAAACCTAAACTGCATAAGCTTTCGATTCGCCGAACGCGGGATAAACGTTGTGATATGCGGGAGCACCTCCTTCATGCCCGCTTGTTCGGCCGCTAGACCCATGCAATGCTTATACTTCGCCATGTGGCGAATATGAAAGAGGGGAAAAGCGCGACTCAGAGGGCTAAGCCCCAGCATAACGCTAAGCAGCCGCACCCCACCATCATAAGCCGCCGCAATACACCACCATAACTAGTAGGGGAACTCAATCCCCCCCATGTCCCCTACGGGACTGCGGAAAGGAGAAGGATACCGGTGGGCCAAGTGGCGCTGTTCCGTGCTCTACCCTGGCTATGCAACCAAACCTTCGGAGCTGGCGGCTCCCCAGGACGCCCCCATTTGTATGAGGGAGGCGGACACAAACACACATATTTCCCTTATCGCGGCTCAGATCATTAAAAACACACACACATATATACACACACACGCACATATACACACATACTGGAAGTGCGAGCGCTGACATGGCACGCATGGAATCCTATACTGCTGGTTGGTACGCTAGGGAACCCCCATTTCCATCCCAGCACGAGGAGCAAAACCAGGTCAAACCAGGAGCACCAATAACGTCCTTTGGGTCTTGCGAGGCGCATTCCATGCTGCGTTGATTAGAGGTTCCTTCCAGCAGTCAGGGCCTTCGTAGCTACGGTTAGGCCGCTGCACCATGGATGTGCAATATATAGGGCTTCGTCCTTCAATTATATCCTTGAATGGTCCGTTCACGTCCCAAATCCAATTAGGGCAACGTAACACATCGGCGACGACATGGATCAACCGAAACGAGCGAGACTCGAACGAAATTCTCCGGGAGGCGCGAAGCCTATCTGTATCCTCGACAGTTGTCACAAAAGGGAAATAAGGATTTAACGCTGTAATTCTTGGCCCACAAAATAATGCGAATAATAATCATGCACGCTGTTCAAGTTTATATATATTTTCAGTTGCCTCACGACAGGTAGATGTGGCGTGCGTCGTACACGTCGAAGCTCGCATCTCTCGACATCCGCGAGATCACTAAAATTGACCTTTATTAAACCCTTCCGGCTGTCTCTTGCTTTCGAAAACTTTGCATGTGAGTGCATCACAGCCTCACGCCTCCGTGGCGTAAATGAATGATTGGAACCCTGGTTGCAAGGAGTCCAATACAACTCGTCGGCCGTTCTTTTGGCGGCTGAAAAGGCTCTCCGACGTACTCATCCAAGCTCAAGCTCAACAAAATTTGCATGTCCTTGTTATGACAAGCGAGCTGGCGGGACGTTCGCAGAGGTACCTCTGATGGTGGTAGTGGTGATGGTAGTGGTGATGGTAAGCTATAAGTCACCCGCATAATCAACCAATCTGGGCGTGTTACATGTTACTGTAGATCATGCGGGATCAGACTGGCCAATAGTTAGCTACGGACCTCAGAGGCACTGAGAGGACCGAAACACAGTCAGTAAGGTTTTTACCTAAGGGTTGCACGTGACCCCACGACGCTGGATTTCGGAGGGTCCGTAGGAATAAACGTACATACATAGGTTTGGCACTACTGGTTACGCGCGACCGTTGCCCCCGGGAGATCCCGGGATCGAGACCTGTCAGGGTCATAAATCCTTCAGATGGTGGAAGGTATTGCGCTCCTGGTTGATGGACAGTGGTGACCTGGGATAAAGTTAACCTGCCAGCCGACCAGGAATGGAGTTGGGCCGCTGTCGACCCGGCAGATTCCGTTGGATGCTGGTGGTGGGTGCGGAACCTGAGCGATCCACTGAGAAGTTGACTAGGGTGACTGGATGAGGGTGCCCCGAAATACCGGGGAAGGCAGAGTTTCGCAGGGTAGCTGCCACGGGTGAAGATATACCCCCCTGTTTCACACATCATACATACATACGTACGTCGTTGGCTGGGGAGTGGCAGGTTTGTGGCCACGAGTGATTTCCCCCTATCCCACATGTTCATAACCAATATCTGCAGCCCACGAGGGACCTGTAGTGGCTCGGGATGTAAACTCTATCGTGAACGCAAATAGTTGCAGGCGTCCGCAAGTGTCCTGCCACAGTGTCGAAACACATCGAGTGCCCGACATGCATATCGCCATGCTGGACAAGGCGTATATACACCACGGACTTACAGAATACGTCCCGATTAAGCTAAAGGCTGCACTTAACCTGTGATGGGGGCATCTGCCTGTTGTGGACACTATCAGCTGTTCCGAAGATGCACGCTATCATAGAGTCGTTGCCGGTTGGCCCAACAAGGGCGGTTGGCCGGCCCAGCACGTACTAACACTCTGATGGTGTAAAGCACGCTGGACCAGAGATGCGGAAGGCAGCAGGGCCCGCGGCTGACCTGCCGGCTGCGTACTTCATGCTCAGGGACGTGGAAAACGGATTACGAAGGCCTGATGGGAGTGCATACTATAGCCCTGTAATTGTCCTACTAATGTGCGAAACTATGTGGCCCAGGTTGCAGGCATTAATATTGGGCAGTTTGAACAACTTGGACAGGAGGACATAGATCTATACCGCCTATTGCGATGGACCCAGGTTCAATTTATCTTGTAACTTACAATGGTAGATGCAAGTATGGATCACAGCGCTGATGGCTGCCGCCAAGTTTTGGAAGTCCCAAGTCGACATTACGTTTGACCTTGCGGACGTATAGCATCCTAGCGACGAAAGGGGTTGACATATTTGTCTAAAAGAAAATCATGGTTATATGTAGCTACTGGCTCGGGCGGGCTCATCTGTTGTTTGTGACCCCACGCGCTTCGGTTCCGCGCCGCGCATCGTAAGCCACGGAACATAAGAAGCTGCCCCAACTTCCTTGATAGAAGTGATCTGACGGATACTCATTTGTACTTAATACAAGGGGCTCAAAGGAATTGACGTGAGGCTCGCCTATCATTGTACAGGGCAGCATCATTCCCTTGACGCAAATTAATCATGAAGAAGGACGGAGGCCAACTGTCAATAAGCCTTGGCGCCCAGATACGAACGGCGGTCCGATCATATTCATGTCATGAACCTCCGAACGGGACCAACATAGTTCACAGTTGGTTGGGCGTCATCTTTGTGTAGTCCTTACTGGCTGGTGTCTGATTAACAAGCTTTATTCGTAATTTCTGCCCATTTCGCAAAAGTTGCGGATGACAGTCAACCCCGCGAACTCTAGCTATGCTCGTCATTTTGTGCAACCTACTCAGGAGAAGGAAGTGAGAAATTAAAATTTGGTTGTGTTCGCTTTTTGGGTCCCGACAGCTTCCGGGAATGAGATGCCGTGTCTGTCTTTGGGACGGGGCAGTAGCAGCAATACATACAGTTGGCTGTCCATCAGGAACAGGATCAATCCGACTTGAAGCGGTATCGCACCTACGCAAATTGTTGCATAAAGATGGATGTTCTTATTTAATCATTAAGGGCATTGGTCCCCTGACCACAGACTGCGCGTTCCCCGTCTACATTCCTTCGTTCTAAACACAGGACCCGGAACTTAAAGAAATAAAAAAACATTGTACAACATGAAAATGCATTACCAGCGTACCATGTTGCTGTGTGCTTTTATTACGAACATCCTGGCTATGGCTGTCGGTGCGCACCCTTTGCGCACGGCAACGACCGTTGCTGTGTACTCTTCCACCACCTCTGGAGTCCTGGACCAAACTTGGGACCCGAATGGGCTCGCAAACCTACAACTACAGCTGAGGCAGCTGGGCTTGTACGTCGCAGGCGTTGATTCCTTTCCTGAGATCAGCGGCACCCGCGCTGCGGCCTTCGTCATCCCAGCAGCAAGTGGTGATAATCCTTACAAAGATGTCGAAGATGCGAGAACGCTGTCTACTTATGTCAAGAGTGGTGGCCTGGTCATCGTGCATGGCTCCGCGCGACATCAAAACGACGCGCAAGACCTTGTTGCGGCCAGCTTGGATTACCAAGGCAGCTGGCAATATTGTGAGCTTGTTGCGGACAGCACTCGCTCTGCAATCGGCATATCCTCGGTCAGTCCTTACGCGGAGCAATTCCTGTCGGTGGCATGGCCATCGACCCTGGAGGATGCGCCTTACCAGCAGGTCCGTTCGTCTTCAGCTGCCTCTCGTGCCCCGTCACATCTCACAGGTTCCTCAAATTTCCCACAAGAAACCCAAGAAATCCATCAACCCACCGTCTATCAGGTTACGCATGTTACGACCTTCATGGCCACCAGCGATATTCACCTCCAATTGGCTATCTAAGGCTTCAAGCTGCTGCCTTGGTTGCCTACCTTCACCATCACAGGATGCAGCTCCTCACAAATTCGCAATCACATACATATATACTTGCATACATATATACTCGCTCTAGCGGGACCTGAGAGCCCTTCGTGGTGTTTTCACTGCAGCGCCATCCCCGGATGGAGGGGCTGCAGAGTGGCTGCGTAGAGTGTTGGCAGTCTGAGTCGGGGTCGGGAGCACACAAAACTCACCGACTTGTGCTGTGTGCTCCCGACCCTTGCGCTGTGTTTCGGCTTCGGCCCCCGGCTCTCGCGGCCCACAGTGTAATCTAAGTCATATATACTTGCATATATACTTGCATGCATACGTACATACATACATACATACATACATACATACATACATACATACCTGCACTGCTGCCCTTTGTTCGCATCGTCAATTCGCCACCTAATTAGGCACCAGGCACATATCCCACACACCCCTAGTCGAGGCGTCCAAACACGGTCACACATACGCCGCCTCTTGGCCTGTGCGTTACCTTTCCGTGCCCCTCTCCGCCTCCGTTTTGCATTGCCCAATGCGTCCCTTTTTTGCTGTACACGTCGTACAGGTTCACAGCTGGTGCAAGCACGAGGATCCGGACGCGTTGTCGTACCCGCTGTACACCCTGGGTGGGGACTCCATGAAGGTGGTGGCGCAGGTGGGTGGCTGAGGGGGAGAGAGCGCAGAGTGCACCGTGTCACGTGCCAGTTGCGGGTTTGCCGCTGCCATATCCCCTCACTCCCCCCGCAATGGATCTCCTGCCACCGCTGCCCTTCCCGTCCCCCAACCTCCCCCCTTTCCCCCGGTTTGATCCCTCCCTGCCCTCAGGCCTTCACCCGGGTGGGCTCCTCCGGTGCTGTGGTGTGGCTGGGTTACAGCTGGCAGGACGGGCCGCAGCAGGGCTGGGGCGAGATGCTGGGCCGAGTCATTGACGGCTTCCACCAAGGTACGCCCGTACGGCACCTGGACACCATATGTATGCAGCTGTACGACAGACGATATCGTACCAGGCACGGCACCTTGCGAAGCCCATTTCAAGGTTATGCAAATGTGTATGCACGGGCGCGTGACGTGGCATTTAGCTAGGCTGGAAGTCCCGCAGAGAGCGCTGACCATCCAACTTTGAAAAATGGGAGAGCTAGTCATTTTTAGATGCCCCAGCCGCCACCACCACCATCCTCACCATCTGAACTCGTCGCCCATTGCCGTGCGGAGGATTTCCACGTCCTCCCTGGGCAGGTAGGCAGCTGCTTCCAAGGCATATGAAATTATGAAACCAATGTAAAACCGATGAAAATCACTAAAACCACTAAACCGTGTCATTCACCACAGGGCTCTACCAACGGCCAGTCGATGCAAGTATCATGGACTCCTACCCGCTCCGGCTGGATGCGGTCCTCGACGCCGCGGCCTCCATGCTTGACGACACTGCAGAGGCCGTACGCCGCCTTCTGTACGGCGTCATGCTGTCGTACAGCTTCGGCAGCGGATACTACAGTGCCGGGGGCTACTATGGCATTGGTTATTACGGTTTTGGCGGCGGTTATTACGGTGGATACGGTGGTTACTATGGTGGGTACGGCGGGTACGGTGAGTACGGCGGTTTGTACGGTGGATATGGCGGCTATAGCGACACCTGGTGGCAATATTTGTCTCTTTGGTCGCACTCAGCAGGTTCGACAGCCGGTCATCCCAGCCAGGTGGAGCCAGCGCCGCCGCTTTCCCGACGTGCCGGCCCACCGTCACCTGCAGTACGACACAGTACCACATCACCTGCTGTACAGCCCCCTCCAACGACGTCAGCATCTCCGCAGCCCTTCCCGTCGCCCTTTGGTTCTCCAATGCCGCAAGCGGCTGCCGTACCACAGCTGCCAGCTCCTGCCGTACCACAAGGCCGGTCTACGCCTCCGCTCTCCCCCGCCGTACCACAGCTGCCAGTTCCTGCCGTACCACAAGGCCCGTCTACGCCTCCTCCTTCCCCCGCCGTACCACAGCTGCCAGCTCCTGCCGTACCACAAGGCCGGTCTACGCCTCCGCTCTCCCCCGCCGTACCACAGCTGCCAGCTCCTGCCGTACCACAAGGCCCGTCTACGCCTCCTCCTTCCCCCGCCGTACCACAGCTGCCAGCTCCTGCCGTACCACAAGGCCCGTCTACGCCTCCGCCTTCCCCCGCCGTACCACAGCTGCCAGCTCCTGCCGTACCACAAGGCCCGTCTACGCCTCCGCCTTCCCCCGCCGTACCACAGCTGCCAGCTCCTGCCGTACCACAAGGCCCGTCTACGCCTCCGCCTTCCCCCATGCACACCCGCAGGCTCCTCCCCCTCCGCCGCCACCGCCACCGCCAGCTCCGAAACCGCTTCCAAGGCCCGTCCGCACCCGATCCAGTCCTCCTCCGCCAAGGCAGCCGCCGCATCCACCGCCACCGCTGCGACCGTTGTCGCCAGTCCTGCCGCCGCCGCCGCCGCCGCGAGTACGGCAGAGGTCGCCGCCGCCACCCGTTCGGTTTCCGCCGCCACGGCACAATCGCCGGCTGGGTTTGCACTGACGCCGCCGAGCGCTGACAGAATCTGTGAGTGTACGGCACGAAGGTGAATCTGATTCCTGATTTGGAAAGATGTTTTGCACTGCCACTGCGGACTGCGTGGACGGTGTAGAGGAAAAACCGAGCGCGGGCGAGGATGGGCATTTGGAGAATTATTTCTTTGTTCCAAACTGAACTCAACGAATTCCAACTGAATGACAACACCGACAAACGAGAATAACGGTCTAAGTACCGTTCACGTGCTAAACATGTCGTGGAGGCCTTATGGGAAATATCATTATGCCTTATTTGTGGGATAAAGAGTGAGGTAATGTTTTAGTGTCAATATAAATGATGAGCTGCACAGTCATTGCAGTGTTAGTGGCGGACCATTAGTTGCTGACCGTTATTTCGTTGCTGATCACCGTTTACAGTTGTTGGTTGCTCTAAAGCTCATGGGTTGCGATTGGACCCACCACCGGCATAAAGGGCTCAGCGCTGGCGGATTGCATTCCGGTTTTTGCAGTGGTACATATCTTTGTTAGAGCTAAGCCATGCTCAGCCATGCTAGCAACCAACCGACACATAGGGACTGGGTATTGATTCTTACCAGGCTAGATGCACACTATATGTAGAGGTTAGCAGTTGGCGGTTGCATGTTGGCAGGTTAGCACGGAACTTAGCAGCGGGTAGCGTTTCACTGCTATTTGCGGCCGAGAGTCGCACCTTAAACACTGACGCGCTAGCGACTCACTGTTTGTTGCACTCGCACAGATTTACGCTCAAACTCTGACCAGAGCGCAAATGCATTATTTTCCTGAAAACACATCCCATCCCCTTGTATGATCTGACCATGTAGCGGTTTGAGAAAATGTTGCGAAGTCGTTACAAAAGATGTTTTGTTGAGTGACTTTGACTTTTTCATCTTAATCAGCGGGCACTGCTGCTGCGACTTCACGGATCACCTCAAACCTGGTGGAATGGTGATATTCACTTTGTCATGGGAATTTTTCATTAAGTGGTTGTGTAGAAGAATAATATTCAAACCGGCGACTGGATTGATTCCTTTCAGTTACGCGGTTTTACGATGGTTTTAAATCTTCGTCGTCTGGTTTTGTTAGCGTTCTGTTGCACGTTGCACAACTCAGTTGCGTGTACCCCAAAGAGATTTCAAACGGAATGCTTGGAGCTTTAAAATTAGAATTTTAATGGAAGGAACGTTAAAAAGGGCAATTGGTGCAACAAACGCGCGCGGTGTGATCGTGTGAACTAATGGTTTTCGATGACAGTCCTAATATCCGAATGTGGTTGGTCCAAAGGGGGAAACGGTGGGGGGAGAAGTTGGTGTGGATTTCACACTTCGTCCGTAATCCAGCGTCGCGGAAAGGGGCCCGGTGGGGCCTTGTGGATCGACCCGTCGACATCGACATGAGGCGCGCTATACCGGCTTCACTGCAGTACATTTCTCTGCAAACCGGATTGTGGGGATGCGATGTAATTACGGGAGGCAGCGAAGAGGATGCCAGATGGATGCATAGGGCTCCTACTTGAACAAGAAAACTAAGAACCAAATGGCGTGGTATGAGTACCACGGAGGATTCGATCAGGTGGTCATGCATAGGCCGCCTCTACTGCTGCTGTGGCGGCGGAGGAGGATGTGCCTGCTGCAGTGCGGTGGCACCAGACTAGGTAGTCTCGTAGCTTCTGTGCTAGTGTGGCGTGCGCAGTACGGCAGTGGTGGCGTTACCATGGTAGTTGGGTAGTTGCCATACGTGCCGTAGACCAGGTAGCGGTTGACGGTTAGCAGTTGGAAAAACTCCTGCGCTGCTGCTTCTGCGATGACCTTCCGAATGGGAACCCAGATATATGTTCTACGTGGGTAGGTAGGAGGCATTGACACTCTTCAGGTCGTTAAGGTAAATGAAAGCAACGATCATTTATCTTCTCCCTCTGTTTTCCCGCCTCTGCTTTCCCGTCGTCGCACCATCGTAGGGAAATTGAGATAGGTTGGATAACAAGTTGGGATACGTTGAATGAGAAGTGGATGCTGGCCTGGGATATTGGGATATAGAGGTTGTGGCCTCCAGCAGGGTTGCAATCCGGGGGATGCTTTAGCGCCACCGTGGGGAACGCGGAGGAGCTTCAGACCACGAATAGTTTCTGCGGTGGCAATGTCGTCCGTTCTCCCCGTCGTAGGTTGGGTGTTTGTACTGATGTGTGCCTGGTGCCTGGGGTTGAGCAGCCGGGCTAATCACACCCTCTCTCTCTCTCGCCCCATCTCTCTCTCTCTCTCTCTCTCTCTCTCTCTCTCTCTCTCTCTCTCTTTCTCTTAAGTTTTTTCCTCCTTGTGCCTCGCCATTCTTATCTTCAAACTGCATAAGTACTCAGTGTTCTGTTTGAGCTTTGGTTTTCCTTGATTTGGATTTTAGTTGTATAAGATTTTTTCTATCGAAATGGAGTTTCCAAGCATTAAGAGAAAGAACGGAGTTTATTCGTGTGGGCTTTAGAACGTTTTGTTTGAGAGCGAGTATTACTAATTGGCTGAGAGTTATAAAGGCATAAGAGCATATTATTATTGAAAGGTTGCATTTAGCAGCGTCTTGAAGCTTTTTTGTTTTGTCACCTCGTTATGTGCAGTTTTCTGTTTTTGAGCGGTTCATAAGAAGCCTGCTTTGCCGCGACGGAGCAGCGTTGCACGGCCCCGGAGCAGGCACTAACGTAGATTGAAATTCGAATGCATTAGGCTTAGGTCAAGCAACGGCCTTGTTTACGTAGTACACCGTCTTGCTCGTCTTTACGGCATCAGTACCGTCGAGTACGGGTACCACCACCAGTTACCTGTGCGATGTCGTTCGTGGTCATTTCGTCTTCTTATTTCCTTTTCGAGGATTGCTGATTAATATTCAACGGCAATTATCAGAGACCGTTGTTCCAGCACGCTTCCCTCACGATATTGATGTAACGCCAACCACCACCACCACCACCACCACAACGACATGCATGGTAGGAATCCTACCGCGGTAGGATCTGTGCTAGGAACGACGTATGGCCCGCAAGCGATGCGACGGCGGGCTGTCCTAATTCATTATAGGAGAGACAAGTTTTGGCGGCAAATGGAGGCGCGATTGGGTCAATGCAACAAGGGCATGCAACCATGGCTCGGTGTGTCTCGCGTCTCGGGGCGCGAAAACTAATGCGTTGCGCCGATCCTAAAACCCTAAAACCCATTCCAGCAAAGTTAGCAAGTTAGTTGGGTTTTACTTTGCATAAATTTCTGTTTCTTCTATGGATTATTATATGGCTAATATGATATGACATAGCGAACAGAAAAGCTGACCGCGACTCGTATACAGGCCCAACCCGCCAATGTCGCTCCTTACGTTTATGTTCCATATCGAATTGCCCCGAAATCATATCGTAGCCTAGGCATCTAGCAAAGATGCTAAGATGTGTCCCCGCTGAGAATTTAAATCATCCAGCCTAGCCAGGAGTTCTCAACACAGCCATATCCTCGATGCCGTACCATGCCGTAACTAACAGTCCCTCCTTCCCCCTTGGTGTGCCTTGCTCGCGCAGCCGTCCTTCCCCTTCCCGGAGGAAACAAAGGAATTGGGCGCCTCTGACGTCAACTACAACACAGTTAGCTAAAACTATTGCGGGGGCCAGTGGTGCATGCATCGGCTAACTGCCCTCCTTAGGTGTTAGGTAAACGAATTATGGCGGACCCGTTTGTGACCTGTTTGCCTGTATGTATGTATGATGTGTGAAACAGGGGGGTGTATCTTCGCCCGTGGCAGCTACCCGGCGAAACCCTGCCTTCCCCGGTATTTCGGGGCACCCTCATCCAGTCACCCTAGTCAACTTCTCAGTGGATCGCTCAGGTTCCGCACCCACCACCAGCATCCAACGGAATCTGCCGGGTCGACAGCGGCCCAACTCCATTCCTGGTCGGCTCGCAGGTTAACTTTATCCCAGGTCACCACCGTCCATCAACTAGGGGCGCTATGCCTTCCACCATCGGAAGGACTTTTGACCCTGACAGGTCTCAATCATATCTGTGTGTTACAAATGGCCTCTGGTGAAGTTTTATTGTGGCTGGATTGTAAACTATTTATAGCTATTTGCAAAGCACATCCTCCCATTCGTGGATATACCCCCGAAGAAGATAACCCCCCGACGGGAGGCCCCCAGTCGCACCCGGCCTCCCCTCTCCCCTCTCCCCCGCACATCCTCCGGGGGTTCGTCCAGTCTTATACACACACACATGCACACACATACCCTTCCCCCAAACCAAAACCACAACAGACCTCCCGCCCAGACATCACCGTGCCCGGACCACCCAGCCACCGCACCGCATGCACTCCAATATGCCGCTGCACCCACACATGCCGCCTGTCGGTCCAGGATCTGCGGTTTCCCCCTATCTCCCCTTCCTCCCCTTCCTCCCCTACCTCCCCTACCTGCTCCTCCGGGAACTCACGCACCCAACCCTCCGGTGGGGGCCCCCACAGCCCAGCTTCACACACACATCCTCCATGCACCATCTCCCTTCCCCGGGAGGGGCCGGGGAGTCCCCCTGCCCAGGCCATTTCCGTTTTTGTAAGCCGCAAAATATACACACACACACACGCACACACACCATTGGGGCCAATGCCGCCGTCCAGGCACCGCCACCATCGAAGCGTCAATCATCATAGAATGCCTCCGTGCAAGACCCCTGCATAATATCGTACAAGTAACGTCGTACTGTTGTACACTACCGTGTCCCGCTTGTGGGCCGTTTCCTCCCCGCGCTCTTGCTCCTCTTTTTCTTCGCCGCCGGCAAACGTACGGAACCGGGACGGCTCGGCAGGTGATCGCCCGGCTTCGGAAGTCGCGCAATGCAGTCCAGGAAGGGCCGGTCCTCCAACGGTCGCAACGCCCGGTCCAACGCGTCACCTTTGACCGCTACACCCAGGCTGATCAACCGATGCAACAGCTCGGATCTCCCCGTGTCGTACCTGGCCACGTCAGCGTGACGCTGGCGCATGCTGGCCCCGAGCGAGGCGGCGGCGGCGCTGTGGAGCCCGCCCCCCGTAGGGCCCATGAAGGACATGGCACCTGGCCCTGACGTGGCGGCGGCGGCGGTGGCGGCGGCAAGGTCCGCATTGGCGTTGGCGTAGGGGGAGAGGCTGCCGGGGCCTAGCGGGCCGTCGTCGTACTCCGAGCGACGGAGCGCGTTGACCTGCCATGGCGGCGCCGCCGCGCCCCCCGGGCTCCCCCGGCTCCCCAGGTTGCCGTTCAGCGGGGCTATGCGACCGGCTTCTTGCCGCCGTACAATCTCCTCCTCAAGCCGGGCCCGTTGTAATGTCCATTCCGCCACCTTGGTCTGTGCATGACGACATACATACATACATACATACTCCTTACATAAAAAAATATTTTTTTTATGTATATTATGTATGGTGTATATGTCAATTCATAAAGCGTGGACTTCAGAATACCCGCCTGTGCGCACACATACATACATACATACATACATACATACATACATACATACATACATACATACATACGCCTGCCAGCTCCTCGGGTGTTTGAGGAGTGATGAAATGGGAGGTGGCCCCCCATCATATGGACGGTGTAGGACGTGATAATATCAACTTGCGAGCTGACCAGGAACTAAGTTGATGCGCCGTTGATCCGCTAGATTTGGTTGGATGCTGGTGGTGAGTTGCCGAACCCAACGAATACATTCTGAAGTCGGATGGGGTGACGGATTAGGGTGCCCCTCTAGCAGGGGAGAGCAGGGACTGCCCCGGGAAAGGGGGCCGCTGGCGAAGTTAACCACCCTGTAACAACATACATACATACATACATACATACACACATGCACATACATACGCACACGCACCTGTACATCCGCCACCGATTTATTTGTCTTCGACTCCATGGCCGACCATTTGTTCCGTAAGGACCGCACCTCCTCCTCTTCAGCTGACGTACCAGCCTTGGACGAGCGCCGTGTGGATGCGGCGGCGGCGCCGCCGCTTCCTCCCGCAGCAAGACGCGTCGCGGCCCCCAACGCCGCAGCGGCTCCCGCCCCCAGCGTGGGTTTATGTGGGCCGCTGACCCAGGGCTTCGGATGCAGCGCAGATGTCGGGTCGGCGGCGGCGACATCGGCCGCCGCCAGCCCGCTCCCACTCGCTGCGGCCGCCGCCGCCGCGACTTGCACGGCCCGATGATCCAGCTCGTCCAACTCTTGCGGCCGTACAAGCTTAGCCGGTGCATACATTTCCGTCGAGGCAAATCGTGCGCGTCCCGGGCCGCCGCCGCCGCCGGCTGCGGCGGCACTACCCCCAGCCGCTTTCACAGTCGCCGCCGCCGCCGTGGCGCCGCCGCTGCTCCGCACCGCCGCCGCTGTTCCAACGGCCGGGTACATCCCCAGCGGGTGGTCTACGGATAGCGACGGCGGCTCCTCTGTACGACCTGCGCTTCGGGACCCAGGACTGGGACCACGGGCCGATGCCGGCCGCAAAACCCCTGACCCGGCGCCGCCGCCGCCTCCGCCGCCGCTGGGTGCCGGCTTTCCCGCCGACGTGCCGGGAGCGCTTCCACCGCTGGCGGCGACTGACGCCCGAGAATACACGTCGAAAAAGTAATGCTTGCCGTACGGCCCGGGCATTGCCGCCGCGTTCGCTAGTCCGTTTCCCGCTGTCGTCGGCCCCGCGAGTCCGACATTGTGACATTGCGTCGGCGTCGGCGGCTGTGCTGCTCCCCCTAGTTGTTGATGTTGATGTGCGAGTGCAGGTGTCCCGGGGGGGAGCATGTCGGGCTGCGGCGGTGCCGCATTCGCCTCCACTGCGAGTGATGACGCCAGTACGGCAGCGGTGATGGGGTCGGCCTCGGGACCCTGCGGTCTTTGGGTAGAGAATGGGGTACGGTACGGTAGCCACACATGCGGCAAAACACACACACATACATACATACATACATACACGTACATACGTATACGGATAAGTCACGTTATGTCTTCTACTGACTGAGTTACTACTAGATATGGTGGCATCAGGTCAACGGCCCCTGTCGGACCTACCACTGGGCTGTCTGTATGTTTATCCCACCCTCCCTCCCTGGTGCCGCCGCCGCATTCGTTCATGCCGTACGGCCCTCCTGCATCGTCTGCCGTCCTCACCCCCGTCCCCCCAAACCCTAACTTCTGACGTATCAGTCTACCCCCCTTGGCACCAGCTTCTCCCTCGTTTGTGTTTCGTCGTCCCCCCATACCCCCTCCCCCTCCCCCCCTTTGTCCAGGGAGGTTCCCGCCAAGAGGGGCCTCCCGCCACGTACTTGTGTCTGGAGAACCACTTGTAGGCCGCGGTGATCCGCATGTCCCGCTGCTCCGCGTCGCGCAGTGTCCCCGCCTCCATCAGTTGGGTGCGGAGGGCGGTGAAGAAGGCGCGCTCGCGGGCTGGGGCCGCGTAACCCACCTCCCGCTCAAACGCGAGCAGTGCGGAGCGCATCTGCTCGTACAGCGGGTTGCCGCTAGCCATCGTGTCACCCTGCGTATATACATATGTACACATGTATGTATGTATGTATGTATGTATGTATGTATGTATGTATGTATGTATGTATGTATGTATGTATGTATGTATGTATGTATGTATGTATGTATGTATGTGCATTTAGGGGGCCCGTGTGTGGAGTTCAGGGGGGTTAGGAAGGTGATCTTACATGCTAGGCTGCCGCGACCATGCGGCCATGGCGGGGGATGTTAAGTTAAGTTATGTCAAACTGGAGGGCGGAACGGGTTCAACTGGGTGAGGGGTTGAAAAAGGTCATCCCGCGCGAGCCGGCTGCTGTTGTTGTTGGGAGCCAGTCGCCCCCTACAAGGGGGGGGGAAGCTGATCCTAGGTGGGGGGAGCTGGGGAGCTGTATCTGCGCGGGGCGAGGGTAGTGGGCCCTGCTATGGGCAGAATACACATACACACACACGCGCACGAGAAGGGCACGTGACCTCTCTCTCTCTCGCTCTCACACAAATGAAACTCTCGTGACGGAGCCTTGACTTGTGAGAGCGTGTGTGTGTGCGACGCTTTCTTCCCAGGGGGGGAGGAGAGGGGAGCTAGCGGACCTGCTTAGGCTCTCGGCTGCTTAGGAGGGGACAGAGGCCCCCTTCGCGCCCCTCTTCCCGTCCGCGGGAGAGAGCTTAGGCGGTCTTTTCGTTGCGGCTGGGCAGCAGTCCCTCTGTGGCCAGTGTCGTCAGGCCGGGTCAGATACCTTGTTACCTTGATACACACAGACACATACACACGTCGCACACACACACACATACATACATACACACACATGCGCGTGCGCGCACCTGGTCGAGGTGACCGGTGCCCGAGAGTCCCTCCCACTCTTGGAGCATCATAGCGCCGACTTGTGGCTGCAGGTCCGCGGGCACCCGCCCGGACCGCGCGGACTTGAGCCGCGCGTTACTTGCAGCGAGTGCGTCCCGAAGTTGTCGTGACTCATAGTGCATGGAGTCCGCCATTTCGCGTGTCTTGGTCGCCATATTGCGCACGATAGCCAAATTGGAAATGGCAGCACAAAACGCGCATTCAATGCTGGCTCACAGAATTCCGTGTTTGTTGTGACAGTATTATTGGATCACACTAGCAAGAGGTAGTAACGGGTTATCCTGTAAAGGGAAGAGGCTGATGGTACTTGGATGTTAGAGAACTTGGATGTTAGAGAGAGGCAAATAAACAGAAGTTCCGACTTCTGTTTGATATGGCTTTTTACATAGTTCACTAAGATAGATGTGACTTGAACGCATGTTGACACGATGCAGTTGCTGAAGCTGTACGTCGTCATTCGTTTACTCAATCGGCAGCACGCCGTTGCTCCTCTAATACCAGAGAGCAGCACTGTCGCGAAAACATGTTAAATGTGTTTTTTCATAATGATTGAATCTTCCTCCATTGTTGCACTCTTCGACACGTGTGCGCGTCGACAGCTGTACTCTGCCCAGCAGTTGTTTCCCTTAATGTTGTGATATGATTGTAACCTTCTATAAACATGAATCCTGCGCAACCTCCCGGAGTCCCGAGTGTTCTTTTTCCGGGCATAGCCGTAGTTGACCCCCGCCTGGCCGCGCCTCGTGGTGAAGAGTGGACAAACGCATATCAGGAGAGCCACCGAAGAGGTTTTGATGATGACGAAAATTGGGCAAGGCCGCCGGGGCCTGGCGACAACGACGACGTCGCTGAACCAAATGATGGAGCGGCACCCATCGGGACATCCAACATAGGCTTCAAGCTCCTTCAAAAGATGGGGTGGAAGGAGGGGAAGGGCCTTGGGAAACAGGTGCGCGCAAGACCGAAGTTGGGGTCGCCCCTTGGCGGATGGCTTAAGGATACTGCACGGCTCGTCCCCTTCCTTGGACATCTTGGTTCATCCCGCGGTCTGCGTACCTTTTCCCCGTCTGATCTGTTATGAGCTCTATTATCTATTGGACTTAGCGCAACAAGCCCCTTGGTCGGCCATGAGTCTAGATGGGCGTTTAGAAGTCTAGCGCGCCTAACTGAAACGCAACACCTTGAAGGCAACTGGGTGTTCCTTGTCGTACAACTCGGATCCCGACCTGCCGGCAGGTGGAGGGCAGGTAGGGGGCTGTTGCGCCTCCTCCCCCCCCCACACACACCACCGGGTCACCCTTTCCCCCCCGGGGGACAGCACAACAGCCCGCCCGGGGACTTCCCACCTTTGCTACCGACGACGAACTGCCGCCGAGCCCCAAGAGCCCCGATCTGTGTCACTGCCGACTTAACAACGTCCAACTAAACCCCAACCAGCTCTCCCAATCACCTGCGGTGGTGATCTGGGCCTCATCAACATGGAGGGCCCTCCCCCTCGCCCTCGCCCTCGCCCTCCAGCTCCGCCAGTTAGGAATGCCCACCTCCATCACCATCACCACCACCACCACCACCCCACCTTTGACCGACACTATTGACATACATACATGCAAACATACATACATACAGATATACAGACAGACAGACATATATGGAACATTCGCAAACTAAAACCAACCAGCCGATCAACCAACCGTGTCTGGGCCCCACCTCCGACCCCACCCGGGCCCCCCCGGGGGGTGGCGGCGGTTGTGGCGGTTGTGGCGGTTGTTCTTGCCCTGCCCTGCCCTGTCACAGGAGACGGGTGTCGTGGAGCCCGTCAGAGCGGGTGTGGATGCGGGAGTGCGGCTGGGTCTGGGAAAGCAGGTGGAGGGGGGAGGCGGCGTGTGGGGGGAGGGGGGAGGCGGCGTGTCAATGACGCGGGACGCGGGCGGGCGGGACGCGGGCGGGGGGGGGGGCGGGGGGGCACAGCGTGACGTGAGTTTATTTCCTCTAGTTCTCTTTCCCGTGGTATATTGTCTATTCTTCCTAAAGCGTAAAATTTCTTTGATTAAATGATTGAATGCTAATTTTGCTAATAATCAATAACAAGATTGAGCATGGAGCTGGAACTTAAGACCTAATTTGTTGTGATGGTGGCGTGTTGAAGTGATGGTGCCGTGTCGCGATGGAGGGGCTCGCGAGGGGCCAACACGGGTGATGTGATGTGACGTGTGTGTGTGTGTATGGCTTGACGCGACACATGCGATTCGTTTTCCCCGTCCAGGAGGAGGACGACCTCCACACCAGCGAGGCGACAGCAGCTCGAAGGCGACTGGAGATAGAGGTGGCGGCTGAAGAAGACGAGGCGGCGGCCAGGAAGCGGGAGGCGGTGGCGGAGGTGCTGCAGAAGCGTGCCGAGGATGTGAAAGAGATGTTGCAGACGTTTTACTGCGAGGTAGGCGGCTGCTGCTGCGGCGGCGGTCCGGCAGTTCATTTCTGATCTCCTTGCGTATGATATGATCTCCCCCCCCGTCCCCCCTCCCGTCCAAACCCCCCCCCACACACACACACATACACACATCTGCCGCAGCACTCTTTCCTCGGCAGCAGCTTCACTCGCTCGTGGGGTTCGTCTTCTCCCCTTCCCCCGCCCGTCCCCCCTTCTCTCCACCACTGCGCCCCAACCACGTCGCCCTCCAGCCCCTCCAACCCCTCCAACCCCTCCCCGGCCCTCACCCTGGGGGCTGTTGTACTGTTTTCACTTCGGCGACGAAATCCCCCGACTTTGCATCGTGTTTTTATTTCGCTCCGGGCCTACCCTCTACCCTCTCTTGCCCGTACGGCAGGTATGCGACAAGCAGTACAGTACCGCCAAGCAGCTAGAGGAGCATCTCTCGTCGTACGACCACCATCACCGTAAGCGGCTCGCGGAGACGAAGGCCGCCATGGCGGAACGCAACCGGGGAGATCGCCAGCGGAGGGAGCAGAAGGTCGCGGATAAAGAGATGGCGCGACTGCAGAAACAAATAGAGGCGGCGCAGCAACGGATTCGCCAGCAACAGCCGCCGCTGCCACCGGACGAGCCGCCGCCACCTCTGCCGCCGCCGCTGGAGGCGGTGTCATCGCCGCCGCCGCTGCCACCGCAGGAGGCGGCGGAGGCACCGCCTCTAGGCAGTACCAGTGGCGGTGGCGGATCCGCCGCCGCCGCCGCCTCTGCTGCCTCCGCGGGGTCTTGCGGCGGCGGCGGCGGCTCTATGGCCCCGCTAGGGGGCCTAGGCGGGATTAGCTTCGGCCTGGGGGGGAGGGGCGCTGGTTCAGGGGGCCGGGTTGGAGCTCTCGCACGGGGGGGTCTGAAGCGGCCGGGGGGGGCTCTGGGGCTGTTAGGGCGGCCAGCGAAGGGTGGCGGTACTGGGGGGGGAGCTGTGGCCGCTGGTTTCGGCCTGGACTCGGACGATGAGGAGGAGGGGGCGGGGGCGGGTTCATGAGCGGCACACGGACGCGTCCTGAGGCCACACACACACACACATACATATCCCCGACGACGGCACCGTGGGACTGGCACACTCGCAAAAGGGGTCCAGTCCCCCCCCCCCCCCGATGTTGATGATGTTGATATTGATATTGATGGTGGTGGTCGGGGGGAGGGGGAGATACACACAGCACCTTCGAGGAGGCGGCGGAGGCCGAGAAATATTGATGAAGTAGGGGCCACCCGGGTGGCTGCAACGCTTTTGAAGCATGTGTGCGGCATTTCGCAACATGCTAGTAGTAGACCGAAGACCATTGACCACGAAGACATGTGCCGTAATTATTTGACGCGTACATCTGTTCGTAAGCGCTGTGGCAAATGTTTGTGTGGAGCCATCCAAGTGAATGAATGGCCTCATAGGGGGGCGGGTTGTGCTGTGTTTTTGACTTCCTTTCCCACCCGCTCCTCCTCCCCTGTTTCCTCCCCTGACCCCGCGGCCACCCTCCCGCCCCGCCGGCAGCCTCTCTCCCCGGGCTGAAAGGCTGATTCCATTCAAGAAGCGGCGGCAACCTCCGAAAGGCGCCCAATCCCCCATCCCTAGGACATGAAAACAGATAGATTGCTTTGTTTGAAGTGCGAGGAAGGATGGCGCTTATATAGGCAATCTGGCAGCCCTTGAGCCCTCGGCTCGTATTAGGCGGTTTGCAGGTACGGGGAACACACCCCACGACCATGTAACAACAACAAGATAGATAGATAGACAGACATAAGACAGACAGACATAAGACAGGCAAGTTCACTCATGGAAAGGGGGGTGAAAGGCTCCAGGGATGCGGTACACGGGCGCGGATACGGATGCGCGACTTGCAGGAAGGGGGGGGAAGGGCGGAGGAAAGGCAGGGAATGGCGGCCGGGGCCCCGGGCGCCTGCGACTCCTACCGGGGCCCGGGCAGGGGGGCAGGGAAGAGGCAGGCACCCGGGCAGGGCTGTTGGTTTGGTCGCCCTTTCGGTTTCCGTACATCCCACCCTTGTCGGTTACAAATGGAGGCTGATGCGGTTGTTGCTGTTATTGTACGAGCAGGCAACGCCGTCTTCCATGTCTGTATCCACATCCCGCGAGTACTTCCCCTGCTGTATGCCGTACTCCGCCTGCCGTACTCCCCTGGTTAGCTGCTACTTCCGGGCCCCCGATACGTGCCAGGGTACCCTGCCAGGTGCTGCCTTTAGGAGCCGCCAGGGGGGGGGGGAGGAGGAGGGGTGTTCATGGGAAGGGAACAAATAGCAACAGGGGCTAAGACCTGCAGTGCTGCTGGGGGGGGGGTAGAGGGATAGAGGGTGGGCATGGCGTTCTCAGGTCGACCCCCGGCTAGGTCGATTGATCCTCCAATATTTACTGTTGCTGTAAAATACTGCTGGCAGCTGCCGAAACATATCACTCCCGGCGCACCGCTTGCAAATGGCATGTCGTACTGACCGTACCGGTCATTTCCGTCGTTTGACATGATGTGTGTTGAAGCGCAACGGATTGTCCGGGCGAGACATTACCAACCAACGACGCCAACAGTCCAACAGACCAACCTTGGACCAACCGGACAAACGAGGGGTAAAAGGGAGTTTCCTTTCCGACTTTGACTTGACTTGACTTGCCGCCGCTGCTGCCGCCGGCGGAGAAGAAGAAAGGTAACCGACGGTCCGTACCAACCCCCGGCAGCGGATTGATTCACTGACAGGAAAAAGAGCCTTTACACAAAAGGACAAGCACACCCTAGGTTTATAAACCACCACCACTTTTGACCGTACGACTACCGTACGACTCTGACAAAACAGTTGCGGCGCCCATGGACCCCACGTCGCGGTACTCCCGTTACGTTTCTAAGGAACTTCGGGTGCCGTACACTCACATGTGGCCTACATAGCGGCCAAATATTTGGTGAGATAAACACGTAAACACATCTTTTACCACGCAATGCGGCGCAATGCGAAGTGGCGCACAGAGGTTACCAACTATTTGCTTGTGCGAGGGGGCGCCGGAACGCACTGCCTTTTATACACACGAACCCGTACAACTGCCGTACATCCTATGCACCGCTTTGCGCCTCTATACCCTCTACGACATATTTTGGGGTGATGATGCGGCCATTTCCTCTGGGGGCCTTGGGGGTTCTTGTAGTGGTGTGCGTGTGCAAGACATACATACCTACGCACAACAAACAGAAAGGCGCGAGGCTAGCGACCGAGCCGGGTAGCAAGAGATATGCGCCACATGTGCCTTTGCTGGTGTGGGTTTGCTGTGTCGAACGTGGTATCGGTTAGTTGCGGCCGTACAACAGCAGCAACTCCTCCGCAACGGACAAAAGCTCTTTATGTTCCAAACGCCCCTTGACCGCCGCGTAAAGGCGGCCGGCATGGCGGCCTGTACGACAGAGGCCCTGCTGCCTGACGTGGCCCACAGCCAGAGGGTGAGCCCCACCATCACCGCCGCCACCGCCGGGTACGGCAGGCGTGGCGGCGTCCGCTGCCGCCCTCACGCCTGCCGAAGATTCGTCCCTGACCGCCGCCGCCGCCGTCGCCGCTGTTTGCCGCCGCACCCCCGACGGTGACGGCGCGGGCGGCTGCTGCGACGCGATGGGGTCGACGGAGAGGTCGGCTCCCGCCGCCGCCGCCGCCGCCGTGAAGCGGCTGACGCGACGCGCCGTGATGTCATCCAGGAGGGCCCTGTCCTGCTCGAGGGAGGTGGGCAGGCTGTCGGCACAGTGCCGTACGAGCTTGTGCCACAGGCCCGCGATAATGCGCTGTGTGGCGGGTGTGCTGGCGGCGGAGGCTGTAGCTGGAGAGAAGGGTGCGGTACGGGGCGCTAGCAGCGCGACAGCTGCCCTAGGGGGGTGGGTTTGGAAAGGAGGGGGGGAAAGGAAGGGGGAGGGGGAGGGGGGTGAAAGAAGAACTGGACAGGACTGAATGCCCTGGGGGTATGTGGAAGGCAGTTTGAGACAGCTCAGTGGCCGGGGTGGGATGGAAAACACACTCCCTCCACCACCTCCTCCTCCTCCTGCGGGGCCTTAGCCATATCCTGGTGTTGATCTGGGGTGAATACTATGTATATAATGAAACCCACCCACCCCCTCACCCCCAGGTGGCACAACGCCCGTAAGACATCCCCGGCGGATATATGTATTTTATGCATTTGCTCACTTTAATCGGTTTCGGAGCTGAGCTTCCTCCTCTTCCTCCTCCTCCTCCGCGCTGCCCTCCTCGCGCTCGTCATCCACCTCGGCGTCGTACATCATAACCTGCTCCTCCTCCCCATGCCGTACGCCCGTAACCTGCGGCGGTCGGGCCGCCGCCGCCGCCTCCAACCCCGCCTCCGCCGGCGCTGCCACCTCCTCTACTTGCCGTACATCCCTGACCCCAGTGACGGCTGTGACCCGCTGCTGCTGCCGCCGCCGCCGCCGCTGCCGCAGCAGCACACGCGCCGCGGCCTCGAGGCGGGGCAGCTCCAGGGATGGTAGCTTGTCCGCTCCAGGAAGCGTTACGTCACCATCGTACGGATTCGCTGACGTCACGAAGCCGTAGTCGGCCATGAGCTCCAGGGACGAGCGGTCGAAGCCGTAGTCAACGGTCAACGGCTCGCCAGCGGCAACAGGCCGCCGTGGCAGTAGTACGACTCTGTCGTGTTGGGGGGAGCAGGGCGGGGAGGGGGGTGGGGGAGGGACAGCACGGCGGGTAGGGCCAACACGCGCCTGGAGGAGGGGGCCCACATCTCTTTCCGCCCGTCCAGAGGGAAGGGGGGGAGAGGCGGGGGGGAGGGGGGTGGGGGAGGGGTAGCACAAGTGGTTCCCTACACAGCCCTGCCCCACCTGGATCTGTCAGTTGTCAGTTGTACGACACAGTTGGGGTCATTGCTGTGGTTAGCCAGGTCCACAACGGGCGCCAGCACTGATATGACCGGACCGGCCGGCCGCCGCCGCTGCCGTGTTCGTACAAGTCCAGATCCAGGGCCGGATTCGAATCCGGAAACGGATCCTGGCCCAGATCCAGATCCCGCTGTCAGCCCCATCTCAAACTCGACAACCCGGCTGCGCACCTTTCCTTCAGTTGGCCCATTCGACCCGTGGGAGGGACATACACAGGGCAGGGCAGAGCAGCAGGGCGCCGCACGGCGGGGGGTGAGGAAGGATCGGAGGACAATGTAGATAGGGCGGAAGGGGGGTGGGGGGTGGGGGGTGCGCATGTGGGGGATGTGCGAGGGGGGGGGGAGGGGGGGCCCGAAATCCCCTCTCTCCATCTCCACGCTGGAAGGCGAGGGGGCCGAGGGGCCCGACGGTCGTAGTGTTTTTATTTTGTGAGCAGCGGCCCCCTCGAGGGCGGTTGCGGCTGGGGGAGAGCTGGAACTGGGGTGGACTGGACACCCCTGACTCGCCGCACCGTCCCCCGCTCCACCCCACCACCCATAATCGTCCACACCAGCCCCATCGGCCTCCCCGAACACACATACATACATACACACACACGCGAGGGCCCCCCCACCAGCGCCAGCGCCCAGGTGGTTTCCTGGAGCCCCTCCGCGAGCCGCAGCCGACGTAAGGCCCCACTGGAGCCGCTCAGCCACTGGGAGTGGACCCAACGAGCCCAGTCGTGCTGCCGGGCGGCCTCGTCCTGCGAACCAGTAGTAAAGGGGGGTTGAGGGGTGTGAGCACGGGGTTATAGAGTGAGGTAGGGTGGGACAGGGTGGGGTAGGGTAGGGGTAGGGTGGGGTAGGGTAGGGGTAGGGTGGGGTAGGGTGGGGTAGGGTGAGGTAGGGTGGGGTAGGGTGGGGTAGGGTGGGGTAGGGTAGGGTAGGGTAGGGAGATAGCGGCAGTGGGCAAAGGATGGGGGGAGTCGCTTACCCCCCCCCTTCCCCCGCTACTTCACAAGATACTTCCCCAGCCTCCTCGCGCCTTTTCCCCCAGCTCCCCCCCCCACACACACGCACATGTGGTGTATAACCTGTGTTTCCTCTGTGACGCCAAATAAATCAACCGTTCATGCAGCCGCTAACCGTTGACTACTACCAACCGATGCCCGTAACCACCCACCACCAAATGTGGCAGCTGTAGCGCCGACAGCTCCCCGGGGCCGTAGCACAACAAGCAGCTCAGCTCTCGCTGCGGTGGCAGCAGCGCCTCACAATACTCCCGCCATGCCGTACTGCCGTACTTACGGGCCCAGAGCAGCAGCACGGCCAAAATGACCAGCTGGTAGTCAGGTGTGTCGCAGATAAGGCCCGCAACAACTGCAGCACGTTCAAATGGTACAAATCTCGCAGTTTATTTAAGGAGATGACGAAAATAAGCACACACTGGCAGTAGCTGACGTGGGAAGTGTTTTGTGGCGAGGTTGGGGCCTGGTGGGAAAGCCCTGCCCCGCTTGCCTTTGAGGATGGTCATAATGTTGTGCAGTATTTGATTTTGCGGAGATTTTGCGGAAATTAAACTATCGGGTCAGCATGTCGTTGTTAAAAATATACCTTCAATTGCTTTTTTGACATTTGGCGGCATCTCAGGGGGTGATAGCACCGACAGTTGGCCGCCATCCCCATCGACGGACACAGCCAGGGTGCTGCCGATAGGAACAGTCACCAGCGCTGAGCTGCATACTGCCTCTGAAGCCACAAGACCGCGGAAGTCATCAGGTCCGTGAAACCCGAGCGCGGCGATACTGTCGATATCCAAGCCATCGATGACACGCTCTAGAGACAGTGCCTGTTCTTGCTGTTGCCTGACCAAAGATGCAGCTACCGCTGACTCCGCATCGCAATGTTTGGACCATCGGGAGGCAGCGGTGAACCTGCTCGGGTGTACTGCTCGTCGCCATTGGCTCCCACGCGCAGAACCAGCGGACCTAGGTCGCGATATGGTACGCTGCATGAAACAGCAGCCACTTGACGAAAAGATGACTCGTGCGCGTTCGTGACCTTTGTGCACGTTGCTTAGTTGGCGGCTTAGTAAAGGAACGTCCCGATTTCACAAACTGTGTTCCTCGTTAGACAAGTGGTAAAAGTCTTGTCTGTAAGCTTATCTATCGATACTCATGTTATGACAAAAGAGATTATTCACCGGAACTGAATTAGGCGTTGATACTGCGATGTTGCCACCCACGAGAGCGTAGATTTCCAAAGCTAGGACAAAAAGCGACCCAGAGCCACAGCAAACTTCACACCCTGTGACACGCACATGCATATGTCCTAAGACAGATGTCGTTACTCGACCCAAGGGTCCCCTGACGGCTTTGCAGGCAACTCCAGAGCTACCAATGTAACGGCGCAAAGCCCATCTAAGCATCCCGGGTTACGCCTTTGCTGTGATACAATCAATCTTAAGCTACCTGCTGCTTCGTGATTCTCTCCATTCGCCAACCTCTGTAATTTTTAACTCTTGACAAATTCCCAACATAACTCCTCCACAATTTTCTCTGGATGTTCTCACAGAAGATGTTGCGGCCATCCATCAAACACGCAACCCCACCCCATGCTGTAGATGTACATACATGTGAACCACCGCGATGCTGATCTCTAGATAAGAGTCCGGCCTCCCCGGTACGCCTACAACTCCTCCCCACCCCCCACCCCCCACACACACACCAACACCGCCTTCTCACCTTCCCCCCACACTCGAAAAGGAGGGCTTCCGGGCTCCCCTCCCCCCTTGTATCTTCATCCATGTCCCTCCCTCTCTCCAACCCACACCTCCACACAACTCCTCACGCATCCGGTCGCCAAATCGCAGCAACCACAGCCGGGCTAAACCCATCCATCCAACCACCCATCCATGCACCCATGTTGCATGTCGGCATACCAATGCTGACGCTCGCAAAGCATTTCAATCCATTTCACATCAGCTTCGCATGAACCAAATCCTGTGGTGAGATACTGATACAGGTGTGGTACTTCCAAAAAGCCGGCGCAGTGGTCGGTAGGTTCGCCCGTCCCTGTATCTGTGTGTGTCAATAGCCTTTGCATAGACACTGTTGGATCCGCCAAGAGAGGATATACCTCCTCATTATTGTTGTTATTGTTGAGTTCGTGGCGGAGCGCTGGGAGAAGATGGATTGAAGAAGTTCCTCCGAAACCAAACCACCCTGTCTACGTAACCACCCCTCTGCAAGCTGCAGGAACGATGCTCCGGAGCCACCCGGGTGATGTGCCTCGTCCGAGCCATTCGATGCGGGATTCGGTGCACGACCGCCTGAGCAGCCACCGCCAACGACATACATGCATACATGCACACGTGCACGAGTGATGATATTACTCCCTCTTCAACACAAGCGTGCAAAAGAAGAAGTGCGGAAGTAAGGGTTTACCCGTTTGCAGCAATACATTCCATGAGACCGCTGCCTGTGTGTGTTGTACCGGCAGTACTGCCCAACTGAACGAAACTACCGTTTTCTTTAACGTCCAACTGTGACACCAAAACCCAGGGTGACACACACACATACACACACCCCTCGCCCCTTGGTCCTTCTCCCCAATCTCCCACCAAACTTAACAGACTAACCACCAACCAATCAACCAAAAAACTAACAACCACTACGCACTCACCGTTGTCGTCGTCACTGAGTGGGCCGGTGGGCCCCAGTCGCGCGAAACAAGTGCGGCTGCCGACTGCCGCTGCCGCTCCTGCTGTGGGAGAGCGCCCAAACGAAACGCCCCTCTGGATCCGCCGCCATCATCATCCCCCACAGACCTCCAGATGGCGACGCCGAAGCAGCACTGCCACTATCCATCGTACGGATGCCGTGCGATGACGTCTCAAAGGTTTGCGAACGGCTGATGGATTCCGAGGGGAATGGGGGGTTGCCGGCGGCAGCGGCAACACCGGCGATGGGTTCCGGAGCCGCCGATTGATCGCCATTGTCGCTGCCACTTAGGCGGTGATGATGATGATGATGATGATCTTCCGGTTGGTGCTGGGGGAGGCTGTCGGAGTACGACTGGAGGCGGGGGGGGGATCTCTCTCCTCCTGGGAACATCTTCGAGGATTTAGGTTGCGGAGAGGTTGCGCCACCGCTAGTTGTCACTTCGCAGTTACTGATAATGACTGCGACACCGCCTCTCTGTACTTTTACTGTGTGGGACGGGTAATTTCACTCTCTGGCAGCGCTGCTGGCTGATTGATGAGATTGTTTAAAAATCTAATTAGGCGCACGTTGTCAGTTGGTGGTCAGCGGTGGTCAGACGGAGGGCGGGAGAAAGGGGAGGAATTGCAGTTGGCTATCCGCCGAGAAGTATTCGACCGGGGGGTTGGTCGGCGAGATGATACCACCCGCTGCCTGCTGGGTTAGGTGGGGCGTAGTAGGTGCAGAGGTCGGGCGGGGTTGCGCGTGGGTCGAGGCGCAAAGAGCAGCAGAACAAGTTAAGCATTTTGTCTTATTTATAATTTTAGATCTTATAAGGCAATGGTTCGGTTTCATTTTAAACCCATGCAAAAACTTCTCTGCTCTTCCTTAGAGTCTTAAGTCTATCTTGCCATCTGGCCTGGTCAGACCCAACCAAGGCCGCAGCGACGACGAGAGGCAGTGCATCTCAGGATTGACTTGACTGCTGTTGATTGTCCTCCCTTAGATTTTAGCGCGTCAAGGATTTGATCATCCAATCTTTGAAAGAATTCCTGACTGTGCGGCAGAGGCACGACTTGCGTGAATTTTGACTCCGGAAGCTAGCTCGAATCGCGCCGTTCTGTTTCGTCAGAGGCGAAACGGGGGAGCCACCGTAGAGCACGAGAGCTAAAGGAAGAGATTTCAAGGAGCGCGCAAAAGGAGGTTTCTCACCTGGTTACGATGGAGGGAGGAAAAAGCGTTGCGTCGTCACCACGCAACCGCAGCAGGGTTAAGGCTGGTCCTGTGACTTAACAGAAGTCCCTATATGCATAGGCGACTTACCACAAAAGGATCCTATCTCCTGTGTCGTCTCAAGGATGGCAGTTATGCGGGCACTTGCGCGTTCGACATGGCAGGCTTTATAATTCTTACGATACCTATGACTCACCAGCTTGCCACGCCTGTGCACAAAAGCTAAACCAATTATATTCAAAAATTCACAGAATTATTCAGACTTGTAAATTGTTTTCTAGTCGTGAATAATGAACGCGCATACACACAACGGCGAGTTGCGTCTTTTGGTTGATGAGAACTTTCAGTCCCCACCATCCCCACCAAAGGCAGCAAGCAGCTTAGCCCCCGATGTATGCTTGGATAGCGCATGGCGCACATCACTGACCTTCAGGAGTTAGATAATAATAATAATTGGCAGCACATCATGATCGGCAGATCTGATCGGCAGATAGAAAGGGCTTCATAAGCACCAAACAAGGTTTCCCGCACAGCGCCCCGGATAGCGCGGACGGCCAAAAAGCAGGAAGCGATAGTGTTGCAAAACAAGATCCCTCCCCAGGATGATGATTACTGAGGTTGGAAAACACGAGACACAGAGAGGTACGCGCGCAGAGACACGCAGATTACTTTGGATTACAAGGGATCCCACGATATATTTAAGTGCACCCAAGGGTAATTAGGCACCGGAAATCCCGTGGGGCTGATAGGGCTGATTGTGTCGGGTGGCTCATGTTGGTGTCGGGCAGTCATTGAAACAACGCATGACGGCCGGCTCGCACCTCTCCCACACATAGGGGATCAGTCTCCACACACACACATATCTGACCAAGAAACTATGTATGTATGCATGTATGGAGAGCCTCAGGTGACGGCGTCGCTAGCAAAGCAGAGCACGTTACTTATTTCGGCCCGATGAGCTGAACTGGTTTTGTGTGTGTGTGCGTGTGTGTGTATATATTTGTGTGTATATATATATATGTGTGTATCTATATGTGTGTATCTATATGTGTGTATCTATATGTGTGTATCTATATGTGTGTATCTATATGTGTGTATCTATATGTGTGTATGAACTGAAAATAAATGTAATCGGGTGTTTGGCAGCAGGTTGGTGACTGACTGTGGGGGTTCAGCAGCATGACGACCGCTGGCTAGGGATACAATGAATCGCCACCTTTCCTCTTGCGTATATACATACATACTTTTATACATACTTTTCTATATATACATATATTCCGTCCAATCCACACACCCCACAACCTCCGGAAGGCACAACACGGGGTACACCTCTCAAGTCCCCATCAACTGTTTATTGTTTCATTATGACAGAAGCGTGTGTTTTGTATACTGTTGTGGATTATGAACCCAAAACACACATACACACATACACACACACACACACACTATTGTTGTCTTTAGAGAACGCGACGCGGCTTTACGTAAGGCACCGACACCCCCCCCTAAGTAGACCGAACCAGTAGGCCGAACGATTCGGTGAGGGACGGGCCCCCCCGCCGACATCACACGACCAAAAGACCGATCAAAACCAAAGGATACTGCAAAAATCATGAAACTGAACGAACCAACCCTAAGTAAAACTACCATAAAAACTGCCTGCAAGAAAATAATGCCACGCACCGCTCCGGGCGGTCTGCCAAAAGACCCGGAGTGATGAAACCGGAAACCGGGAGTCCAAATGAAACGCTCAGCAGCAGCATCAGCAGTAGCAGCAGCAGCAACAGTAGCTGGTGTCATTGCTTTTGGTCCCCAAGGGGCGACCGGACATCATGAAAATGAGCTGCTACAGCCGACAGCGGAAAGAAAGCCTCTTGAGTGATAGACAGACAGACAGACAGACAACAAACGACAGGTTGGCTGCTGATCCAAGACTGCTCCACGTCATTACGTCATAATGATGTATTCTGGCGTTAGGGGTCATTCATTCTCTCCTCCTCCTCCTCCTCCTCCTCCTTATCATCATGATCATCGTCACCACCATACCACGGCAAACCACACCACACCATCACCCCATACACACCGCATACACACCGCAGCACGACACACCACATCATCAGACTTGTACGGGCGTCGTACAAATGTGATGCCCGCCTGCCTGCCTGACACGTCACCTGCCTAGTACGGCACTACTTGTATGGGCAACATGCTCGGGTCGTCCACCTTCTCCACCCACTCCCCGTCGTCAAGCTCCTGCAGGTGCTTCAGGGTCAAGTAGGCGTCAGTGCCGTACCCGGGAATGGACTGCAGCTTCAAGTCGCCGCCTGAGGGTGGTGAGGGTGATGAGGGCGAGGGTGGTGAGGGTGAGGGAACTGAGGAAATATACATTGAGGGACTGCGCATTAATGTATTGGTTGTGTGTGTAGGCGGGGAGGAGGGGGGGATCATATGCGTGTTAGGGGGGAAGGGAGGGGGAAAGGGTAAGTCAGGGTGTTCAGGGAGATAGGCGCCACAAAGCTTTGGCACGCACCCCTCTATCCGCCCCTGCCCCTGCCCCACTTCTTCATCCCTCCCCCCTCCATCCCTCCAGTCCGTAACTACGCACTTTACCACCACCACCACCACCACCACACCAAAACACTCACAACCCCCCTACACAGCCGGACTCCCCTCCCTCCCCACCTCACCAAAATATCGCGCATACAGCCGGGAGAGGGGCAGTCCAAATCCCAGCCCCGCCATCTGGTAGCGACTGCCCTGACCCGACATAAGGCCCGCCGGCAGGCCCCCACCCGACACGATGCGGGCTGGCCCCACACTGCCCAAACCCTCAACCACATGCTCCCCATCGTCAGCGGCTGCTGAGCTGCTACTGCCGCCACCTCCGTTGCTGCTACTGCCGCCACTGGGGGGAGCTGCATGGCGGCGCTTGCGGCCTAGGGTGGTGAAGCCGTACGACCACACCTGCGGCGATATGGAGGGGGGAGTAGGGGACGATAGATAGTCGCTTGAAACCACCACACCACACCACACCACACCACACCAGAAAGGTAACTCATTGCGTGTATGTATTAACTGCCGATATCATCCAGAGCGCCCCCCCCCCCCCGCCCGCAGCCAGTCCGTCCGTCCGTCCGTCTAGTCCAGTCACAGGACATGACACCGCGATATGGCACCAGGACGTGACGACTGCAGCACTCGGGGGGAGGGGGGGAAGAGAACTGGAAACCCATTTGCCCCCCCTCCTCCTTTGCACATGTCCCGACCTCCTCCACCTTTCCCCCCTTGCTCGGTCGCTGTCGGGACTGCTGTTACTGGAACACAACAAAAAGGGGACTTGGGGGGAGGGGGGGGAAGCGGCTTGTGAAGTGTGTATTGCACCACACACCACACACCACTAGTATACTTCTCCCACCATTACCTACCTACCTACCTACCTACCTACCTACCTACCTACCTACCTACCTACCCACCCACCTTGTCAATCAGGTCGTCCGGAATGCCCCCTCCCTGGTCCGATATCTTGATGGTCAGAGCCCCGGCAGCTCCGTCGCATACGCGGATGTGTACCGGTGGCAATCGGGGGAACCAGTAGCTACTGCTGCTACTGCTGCTGGGAGCAGTGGTGGCGGTGGCGGTGGTGGGGGCGGTGGAGCTGCTATGGCGGCGGGGGTTATGCGGCGGTGAGCTGCGGGACTCGACCACGGCTCTGTGTGTGTGTGTATGTCGCCACCATGGCATGTGTATGGATTAGGCAGGAGATAGAGGAATAACGGGGGGGGGAGGTGTTACGGTAGTTTTAGTTGAGAGTTAGGGGTGAAGGTGTGGGAGGTGTGGGCGGGGGAGGGGGTGTTATGTGTGGCGAAAGGGGGACGGGTGGTGGTGGTGGGATGGGTGTTTTAGTGGGGGGGGGGGACGTATCGAGAGCCATCATCACCACGGGAAGATGCATGGATGACGAAGGGGGGGGGGTGAACAACGTCATGTAAGCAAGGGAAACGTCTTTGAACCTGCTCACCCAGCAAGGTGAGTTATGAGTTCGGTGGTTAAGATGCCGCTCCCCTAACCACCCAGGGGGTACCGGAGAGGAGATATCGATATCGGGGAATCGAAGGCAATGACCAACATACGTACGGAACGTACGTACGGAATGTCGTATTCATCAAACAGAGCTCCTACAGGAGACGCTTAGCCCGACCCCCGCACAGGAGCTGCAATCTTCCGCTCGACCTCGCACGTGTGACGACGTGTATCATAAGTACGACACAATATCGCCGTACAACACGCCTTATTACCGCATCGCGTTCTTCAACAGCTCGTACAGCATGTAGTCCAAGTGCGCCGGAATGTACGGAATAGAAACCTTGGACTCCCCGCTAACCACCACGTCAGGCGCCATGCCGTACGTCTCCATGCAGACCTGAGCGGCAGTGTACGGCAGGTGTTTCAGTGTCGTATAACATTGGGGTTTGGGTTGGCGCTTTCCAAAAAGTAATAAGATGTGTCGAAGCTAGGCACCAACAGCCGGACCATTTCAACTAAAACCCTAACTCCCAACCACCCCCAACCACTACCAACTTGCGATCTTCAGTCATCTACCCCGTACATACACACGCCCCATATCGCCCCATATCGCTCCTCGCTATAGCACCGAGCCGCCATCTGCACCGCGCTACTGCCGTTCAGCTCTACCGTTGACCGGATCCCCCAATGCTACCCCCCCCGAAGGCCTCTAGGAGGTGCTACCTCCGAAACCAACCAATGCATCCAACCCCCACAAAACATAAGTACATGCCTACCTGCTTGGTTTTCTGTACGGCAAAGGATATTGATTCCTGCACGTCCAGATCTGTGCAGATAACGCCAATGTACCCTGGCCTGGGGGGGGGGCCCGGGGGCGTAGGGAGTGTATGTGTGTGTATGTGTGGGGGGGTGTTGAGGGGGTTTGCGGGGTGAGGTGAAGTGGAAGGATCGCGCCTAACAACGTCCTCCAACCCCATGTCCGTCACTGCTCTCACCCCTGTCCGTCATGTGTAGGTGCTTAGGTTTCCTTCTCCCCCTCCCCTCCCCTCCTCATCATCGCGCGGACTCCTCCTTCACAGCTCGCGGTGACCGGCTAGTTACTTCTAGTTACATATGTGTGGCGTATGAGAGTCTATATCACCCTTGGCATCAGCTTCACTCATTCACGGGGTTCGCCTTCCCTTCCCTTCCCTCCCCCTCCCCTCCCCCCTTTCATTCTCCCCCTTCCCCCTCCTTCTCCCCCTCCTCCTCCCCCTCCCCCTCCACTCTACCTCTCCCCCTCCCCCCTACCGCCCCCTCCTCCCTACCGCCCCCTCCCCCCTACCGCCCCCTCCCCCCTCCCTCCCCCCCTCCCCCCTCCCTCCCCCCCTCCCCCCTCCCCTACCTCTTGTTCCCAATGTGCAGGTGCTGTTCCGCGATGACTCGCCGGCTGATTCGCGACCGCAGCATGGAGTCGAAGAAGGCGTCCATTTGCAAGCAGGGCCCCACCAGCACCTTGTCCTTGCACTCCCGAAGGCCCGTGGCAAGCGAGTCCAGCATGGGGGCTGACAGGACGGGGGGGGTGGGGTGGGAGGGGGGAAGGAAGGGGAGGTGAAATTAATGTGTATGTATGTATGTGCGGGGGTTTGGGGGTTTGGCGGGTTAAGAGGACGGGAGGAAGATAGACGGGGTTTCGAGGGAGGCCAACATGAAAACATATACACACATACATACACATACATACATACGTACATCACATACATACATACACAAACCCACCGTGCTGGTCCAGGTGTTGCCTAAGCAGCTGGCTGAACTCCTGGTTGTCCTCCGACGTGCGAACCATGGGCACCCGCCGCAACGTCTCTTCGGTCGGTTGGTTCGGTTAGGGGGCGGTTAGGGCGGTTGAGCCGGTTAGGGTGGTAGGGAATAGAGGCCCTGGAAGATGCGATTCAACTACAAATTGCAGCCTTGTGAGGGGAGGCGTGATGAGCATCACATACATAACGTAGTATTCAAGGTCGTACCATTTCTTCACAATTTCTACACATATGCGGAAGGGGAAATTCGTTAAAAACGGGGTGGGGACCACTGCCGGGTAGCTATATTGTACGGATGTGCAGTACGGGTATCATGAACAAGAGGCTGGCGGGGAACCCCCGGCCCCCACCCTGCAATTCCCCCCCCCAACACACACATACACACACACACACTAACCGAATGATACGTGGTACTGGTTGTACACCTTTTTAATGTGGGGGTTGGCGACCACGATGTATCTGATGGGGTTGAGGTTGAAAGGTTGGGAGGGTTGGCGGGGTAGCGGGGTTGGAGGCGGAATGCGGTGGTGAGATTGGTGTGATACGAGAACGCACACATGGTTCGGCTGCAGGGCTGCAGGGGGGACATCACATCACATGATGCAAGGAAATCAGATAAATGGACTGACTGACGGAAGGCGTCCAAAGTCCGAAACTGCTGGAGGGCGGCGGTGGTGGTGGTGGTGGTGGTGTCCCGATGGCGGTGAGGGGGGGAGGGGGAGGACCCAGGGGGGAGCCCAGAGCAGGGAAGGGGAGGGGTGGGAAGGGAGAAACTGCGGGCGGGGCGGCGGAGGAGGAAGAACGAAGGAAGCGGCATGTGTATGTACGGCTATATACCTGGTGGGGAAATGGTGCCGGCGACCTGGTGACACGTCACCCGACATCGACCCCCATATCGGAGTCATGCACCGCTCTCCGGGAGCCCCCTCCCCCCTCTTTTCCACCCACCCACCCCCCAATTACAACATTTATCCCCCGCAAACGCTTTCCCCTTCGGGATGCCCCCCTGGTGGGCCCTCTCTCCCCCTCCCCCCCGAGGCCGTACAAGAAAACCGCAAAGCCAGGGGCGGGCGAAGCGGACTAAGGGACTTCTAGGAGGGAATAGCTGTGTAAAGAAAGTTAAACTTGGAGGCAGCCCCACCCCGCCCCGCCAGGGCCACCGCAGTTGGCCTTTCCCCCCCCCCCCCCCACACACACACACTCGGGAATAAAGGCGGTGTGTAATACCACACCACATCGGGGTCGGTCACCGGTTAGGGGTCCCTCCACTGACACAACTTTACTGTACCACTCCATGAATCAACATGGCGCAACAGGAACGTAATGTGATGTATGCATGCATGTATATACGTATGTGTATGTACGTATATACATATGTGTGTATGTACGTATGTATGCGTTGGTTTCTCGTGGTGTGGGATTGTGGGAGTCCTCGGGGGGTTCCAGAGGGGCTGAGACTCACGGGAGCAGCTGCAGGTCCATCAGACGGCGGGCGAGGCGCCTGGGAAGCTGAGGGGAGAAACACGGGAAGGGTAGGAGCCGGGGGGAGGGGGAGAAGAGGATGGGGCGGGTGGAGGGGCCGCGCTACTGAGCACATGCACAGGTCTAACCTGACAAATGGATATCAATGGATATCTGCGTATCCATATCTGCGTATCCATGCACAGGTATCCCATGGGGGTATATCCTTCGGTAGCATCAGGAGTCAGTCAATCATGAACAACTTTCACGAACTCCATAATGTGACCGGCTTTACAGGTGTGTTCCTCTGCCGGAGCTGAAGCAGCGCCGCGGTATACATACCTCACGTTGCACGTATCTCGCGCTTTTAAGGATTTTGCCCGGGTCATCCCATGCGTTCCGTCCAAAACTGAGCATTTGGCGAAGAGACAGAACTTCGACATCTTGTGATGCATACTGTTATGATTGCAAATGAGAAGGAGCGTAGCATGGATAGGTTAGCCAAACGCATAAGTCATGCCTTTCGCGAATGGTCGTTGGCGGCGTGGCAACAAAAAGGTCCCTACCTTCTCAACCGTTGAGTCATAGAAACTTTCTGCACGGATTGTGCTGAAATTTAGCTCAGACAACGGCTGAGACGACGCAAAGGCAGTTGTGTGTAACCCTCGAATGAGGGCAGCCACCTGGACGCGCCAACTCAAGGATGCCGCTGCCAAGCTTCCCATTTTACTACCGATGCAGCAGTTCGTCTTACATTAGGGCCTTCTTGCCCCACCGGTGTCAGTGTCAAAAGGGTCGCAGTTTCAGGCCATCTGGACGAGCCTTCAGAAGCTCGGTTAATAGTAAATTTTAGCGAAGGTTTTTACGAAAATCAAAAGGCAGTGAAATCTGACCTAGGGATGCACAGATCGGCACAAATCAGTTTGGCAACCGTGATATCGAACGCAGGCTTGGCCTGCCTGTCCAAAATGGCAACCCTAAGGCATGGATTATCTAGGCAAGCGAAGAAACATCACCAGGCTAAAGTAATGCCTAGGAAATTATTAATTCAGATTGCTGTGCCTAACTGCCTATCTGGCTCATCAAGAAGCCGTTTAAATCCGGAACGAACTACCGGAACGGGGCGCTTTGAAACTTTGACCCCTTTTTGCATAAGGATGCCGATAAGCGTAAGGATGTCACAGAGCACGCCGAAGTCAAAGCCTTGATCTAGTGTGCCTTGATTCTGTTCGAGTGGAAAAGATTTGTGTCCAAAGCACGCAGCACATAACCACGAGATCATTTCCCAGTGTCTTGCCGAAGGAGCGTGATCTCATAAAGCGTTGTCAAATCAAGCTAAGAACGTAGATATGAAGCAGTCAAGGCAGTCAGGGCAAGCTGGCAATTAAGCCATTTGCTGAAAGCCCGTTGCTTGTAAAAGGCTTTGACAACTTCAAGCCTTAACAATTGTCCCACAAGCATGATACGCCTCGGGTATTCGAGTTATACCATATGGATGTATGAGCAGAAAGGAACTGGTGGGCGTCTGCACGCCTGCTGTTTTGTACGCGTGCTGGTGGTGTACGAGGAAAGAAGTTTAGAACCTGCACCACACCGTACATATATCACAAATCCTAGACAGTTATAGCGGACTTATCCAGAAGGTGGATGGAAAAGGTATGAATGTATGTATGTGGTTGCCAAGGGCTTTTAGGAGCTGAAAGTAGCGTTGCTTTACGAGGAGTTGATGACATGTACGGTGTGATCATTTACAGAAGGGAGCACCTTATGTAACATAATGTCGTCCGGGCTGGGCTGCCGTGGGGGAGCAGCTGCTGCACACTTCAGCCATTGCACATGCTACGGTAGCAGCAGTAGCAGCAGCGACGCATGTAGCCGCAGACACGCTGGCTTTGTGAAGCCAGCGCGGATTGTCAGGCTGCGTTCGCAGATTTGCGGAAAAGGCTTGTTTCTAAAATGCACGCTTGCTTCATTATTCTTTAGCCCCGCGCATTGTACGTGGGCCTGAGCTTGCTAACAGTAATGGCGAACAGTGGGAAGGGGGTAACGGTGAATTCCTGAAGCTGCCGCCACTGATAGAAACCGGTATATGTGATGCGAAATGCCCTCCGATTGTATCGATATTGAGCAAATGAACCGATTCCTCTGCATAGATACTTACTTTGTAACCTGGTGTGGCAATCAACTGGTCCGTATGTTTGACGTACTCTAGCTCAAGTCCGAGATAGCAATGACTACTTTCCTTCATAGGTAGCTGCCGCCCGAATCCAGCTTTACTTCATCTTTTCTTCAGTCATGAGCTTGACGCGAAAACCACTCTGCTCCCCGCTGGCACGCTACCACCCTGCCACTAATGATGTAAGACCCTCGCCAAACGACTCCTTGATAGCTCTGCCCAATTAGGCTGCTCGCGGGCCCTGATATAACATATATATTCCGGTCGGCGGTTCATCGAATACCGATAATGAAGATCTGCACTTGCTCCTCGTTACCATACGTCAGGATGCAGGCGTGGCATGAACCGTAAGGGGGGAGGTCCACATGCCTTGGCCAGGGCTTCGCTGCTAGGCCGTGCCTAAGCAGCGTCACAAGCCTCGCTCCTCCGCTCAGATCCCTCCTCCGGAAATGCTATAACGCTGCGCCAACACGTACCAGAGGGGAGCCCAAGAAGAGGGGTGCACGTGCCCTGTCAAAGCAGGGCGCACGTGCCTTGCCCCAAGGGGTGTGGACTTGTATTCGACATATGTCTGCGTTGCTCACACGTCAACTAGCCTCCCTGACGTGCACCTGCTGTAACTCTGCTTCCTCACTTCAATCCTGAGCTGCCAAGGGCTGGTTGTGCGAGTGCCGTGGGGAAAGCGGGGACAGTCGGCAAGCGGTAGTTGCACACACCGAATTACATGCTATCAGCATCCCGCTTATTGAACCGGCTCCGCCTGCTTCTTCCGCCACATGATGTCCAGAGCAGAGTCGCCCTCACCCTGCACACGTTTGTGTGTTTATTGGAGGCAAAAGGCCAGAAGGGCGTTGAGCCGTTACATTAAAGTGGTTATGTTTCTTAAACCATATTTACGTCTGACATTTTTTAAAGTTCCCATGCGGCAAAGCAGCAAGATGCCTGGGGAGCCAAGCCGCCGCACAAAATAATGCCCCGGCCATCAACTATTGCTTACCATGGCTCGCACGTTGCCAGCAATCGCAAAAGTGCTGAACTGATTGGTGTACACGCCGTTGGCGTCCAGGTGCCCGATATTAATCTGCACGCTGGCGTGGTCCTTGGCCGTGATAAGCTTGTTGGTCCATGCGCTGCAGAATGACAAGAAAACTTAAAAGATCACGCAACTGAATAGTAATTAGGTTAAGCTACGCGCCGTCACCGGCCGACCCACCACTTGCGCGGGATGTAAAGGTCGACGACCTGGCCCTCGTCGTTGATCATGGTGACGAGCTTTTCAAAGACCTCCGGTGAGTGCGTTCAAGGGAGAGAGAAATTCCCACCTACACACAAAACTGACAGTACCCTCAACTTCCGAAGCACCACCCTGGAGCTCTTGGTGCCTCCTTAAGGAGCTACTGTTCATGCATCAATTATGCTTGTTAGTTTCCAGTGCAATGCCACATTCTCTCCTGCTATATCGCTATGGTTTCTAAGTCATCTTCCTTTAGGACGAGTAAGGCTCACTTCCGAGTGTCTTATGTCCCCGTTGAGTCCCTTAGCCTAGCATGATTCCCTTCTCTTGCATGAGCTTAACTTTTTGCTTGCTCTGCATTGCATCGCTGTGTAGTAATGGCAATTTCATGTTGTGACTTTCTTGGCGGCTTGTCTGTCCGACTTTGCTTTTCTTTCTTTTCGATATGTTACCGCTTCACCTCGTTCATGTGGTATTGTCATCTTAGGGAGCTGGCAATATGGGCAGGCCAAGGATTACAACATCAGAACCCTGATGGTACTCACCAATGTAGAGTACTTTACACGCTAGATAGTACCTGAGGCCTTGCCTTCTGCTCCTTTTTGTGCTTACATGCCATATATCTGGGATAAGGGCAGTCTGAAGTTCTTGCATGAGGACAAAAATACCTCACGTGCCACGCGCTACCCATGACACATACGGCCGTTGGAGTAGCACACGGATGCACGCCTCGCACCTTGACTGTCGTTGCCATTTTTGGGGCCCTGCTTGCACTCTTTAATCCCGTTCATTACAACCCTTTCAGTCAAAAGAGCTGAAAGGATTCGGTATGATAGGTCACAGCTTTCACTTCGTTTTAGATATTCACCCTAATGGGTGCGGGGTTTGCCCCATACCAATTCATAGCCGTACGCGGACAGTCGCGGATGTACTGGCAAAAGCCGCGGCTCAGATAGACGTACATAGTTCCGTACATTCCCGTGCGTCCAAGATTGTAGAATATGCAACGACGTACGCTAGCACGGCGTCTGACAAATGCTACAACAATAACACAATCCGGATTCAATCCGATCGGTATCGACCTGGAAAGGACTAGGCAGCTGCGACTGCCGGTGCTCACCTGGTTTGCTCCTGCACTGCAAATGTTCGCTGGGTTCCCACGTTCCGTTGACGCCGTTGAGATATCCGCCGTGCAAGAGGGATCATATCCGGACATCACCTCTTTTTCCGGTACAGGCTTCCCTTCATTCTCAGAACAACTGACCATAGTGATGAGATGACACGTTGCGCGAGTGGTCGTGCCTGTGGTGGCGGTGTGCAGCGGCGCTCTCACGGACCGATCCCTCCAACTACGAGGGGGGTACAAACGCCTGTCAGGCGCTGGGGGCGAGGAGGAAGTGGGACTGCGGCCACTGCAGTGCCCCCACTGCTTAGGAATGCGGCAACCTCACAGGGCCGCTGGTGGCCAAGCTGAAGTGCCCATGTCGCCACGCCACCGCATTCCGCCAGGGCATATGACCGCCATGGCGCATGTGATGCAGATGGGTGGAACGAGATCATGGACAGATCGGTGAGCGAGAGGCGTTCTGGCAATATGCTTCGTTAGCTGCACAGCCGCTGGCGCAGTGACGGTATGGTGCACCATTACATGCGGCGATATGTGATACAGGTCGGTCCGCTATGTTTTTTTCCTTAAGCGCAAAGCTGGACAAATTGAAGCTGTTTGGCCCCGACGCGCGAATGCGGTGCTTTGCAACCCAAGTCCGAGCAATTCTGTTGTATGGCTGCCAGGCGTGGGGCCCTTTTGCGCTGGCAGAGGTCGTGGACAGGGCGGGAAGGCGGCGGGATAAAGCCAACCTTGCGGAGGGCATGTTCGAAGCCTGTTTGAAGGATAGTGCAGTCCAGCTGCAGATTTTATTCATGAGGCAGGTAGTGGGGGCGGCACGGCCATCCCACAGACTGTTGTATGCGGAGCTGGCTGAACTCCTCTTACAGTATTACATGGTGAAACAGATCATCGTTTCTGGAACCCCCTTCAAAAGCAAGTGGGGTCCATTGCTCCATGCAGGTTTACGGCCGATGCTCTGACCAACCCGGAATGGGAGGGCTTGGGAACCTCAATGTTACGACTGTTTTCCTTCTTGGAGTGCAATATTTGGAGCGGAATACCGCAAGAAGTCGTGGGGGTAAAGAGCGTGTTGACTGGTTGTTGAGTAAACCTCGAGCGGTGATGACGGCACTAAGGGAGCGTTTGATGAGCGGCTGGGACCATGCGCGTCTGACTGTCTTTGCCAGAGGAGTACCCATCAGATGGGAAGCAACCGGGAGTGCAAATGGCGAAGTATAAGCAATGGATGGGGCTGCCTTTTTCGGGAGCCTCAGCCGTCATGTGGCCAACACATGCTAAGGTTTTCATTCCTCGTTCAGCACATCGTAAGCTAATGCAGTTTCGTTTATGTTGCTGGGCTTTGGAGGCAAACAGAGCACGACAGAGCAACTACCATGTCCCCAGGGAGCAGCGGTTTTGCCGCTGTTGTGGCACCAATAGCCAAGTCGAGGATGAAAAACACGTGTTACTGGAATGCCCTGCCTATAATGATATTCGTGCTGAAGAGGGATCCGATCATCAACAGAGCATGTTGGAGGCCATGAAATGGGAACCAGCACGTCTGGCGAGGATGTTGGAACGTATGTGGGCTCACCGAAACTCAGTTACCCCCTTTGGACGCTAGTCTGGGCTGATGTGCGGTGTTTTTCCTTTTCTCCGTGGCTTTTAGGCGTTGTAGTATTGCCCTTGGGCCTTCGGCTCGTATGGGTAGTCTTACAGGTATGGGATCACGCACCCCCAACCATGTAACACACACACACATACACACACACATTACAAGCGGCGAGACACACGGCCACAGCAATCTGGAAGTCATCACCCGCCGCCTTGGCCTCGCTGATGTGGGAGCGCATATAAGTTGTGGAGGCCCCTCACCAAAAGCATTGCAGCACGACGAGCAGCTTTTACAGCCCACAGGGTGCCATCGCCGGATTCAACAAGACATCAGGGGAAGTAAGGAGGTAAGACTACAACAAGGAGCTATGTGTCCGGAAGAACTCCACGCTCCCGTATACAAAGAGACGCCGAAAGCACAACGCCGGAAGCAACCCAGGGGCCACGCACCAAGGGCATCGCTTAGCCGCATGACCACTCCGGGGGGTAGTTATCAGTAACAGTATGGCCGATCCTAGAAGTCTGTTGACAACAACAAGGCACCTTAACTCACCTTACCCCCCACCCCGCGAACAGGTAACATTCTAAATACAACGTGTGGGACATACGTATGCATGTATTCCTCGCACTGCAAGCACATCCCGCGCCGTCTGCAGATCATTAGGGCTGTACGAACAGCCGTACAATGCAAGCAAGACTGGGAAACGGTTGCGGAGTCCTGTGGAATTTGTCATGATGCTAGGAACTAGCGGCCCTAGCGTACGTCGTTTAAAATTTTTGAAGATATTGTCTTCTATGGTCAGATCTTTTCTCGCCGAGAGCTTGGGTTCACACGCCACAATTCATTCTAATGTATGCATAGGCCAGAAGCCATCCACTCTGTAACACACACATATTAAAAAGTTAGCAAAATAAAGCATCGCGACCGCATGCTTATAGACAAACGCCACCACAGCTTTACGACACAACGGCGGCGCCACAGGCCGGTGGATCTTCCACCAGCAACAATTTGTTTTCCTTTCTTTGCTTTTCCTTGTTTGAATTTGATGTGGATTTGAACGCGCCCCCTAGCCCTCCCTAGCCCTTCCTTCCCGACTCCAGTCGCAAACCTCGTTCGGCCACTGCCGCCACAATGAACGGGAACCAACAACCCAACAAACTCGTCGCGCGCCCTGACCGATCGGGCTTCGACCCCAGACCTGGACAACTAAAATTGAGGCACCCATGGGAACACGGGTCGAGAACACGCAATACCAGCTTTGGCTTGGGCGTCACGCGCTTGCCACACGTACACGTGCTCCTGACAGTGGCAGTAGCCAGCGCGGTGAATGCTGAAAAAGAGCAACTTTTGTTCGCCTGTGGTAGTTAGTTAGTACGGCAACATTCAACAGGAAGAAGAGCCGGCCACTAGGCTCCAGCTCATAGCCGAACATCTGAGGCCTCATCTAGCCCAGGTCCAACCAAAACGTTGGCCCTTTCTCGTCAAAAAAGCCTCTCCTCGTTAAGGTACGGCGCGCGGTTCTCCTCCTCCTTGCCCTGCTCTTCACGTCTGCCGACACCGTCACGACCGATGCCATCACCACTGCACAGTATGCAATCCGCACGTCCGCAAATAATATTGAACAGCAACTTTCACCACTTACCAGTATACGCAAAACCGGCAGTATTGAGGAGCTGCGTTACAAGTAGAGCGGAGTGCCCAGGAGAAGTGCGGCACAAGGAAAAGGCGATAGATATAGAAACAAAAAATGGCAGCTGGGCCCGTCGTTGCGGCTTGAAACGGGGTTAAGACTTTAGGCAAAATCATAACCCATGGCACCACACTTTAGCGTTTCTTGTGTTGACAAGTACATGCCTGGCGGATTGCTATTACGCCTACACTCTCGCACGGGCCGTGCTCTCCCGCTGGCTAGGTGCTTCCATACTGCGCACCGCAACACACATATATATTAATAATGATGATAACAATAATATTAACAGTGCATTTTCAGGCCGCCTGCGTTTCTTCACCAGATCCTTTACCACATAGAAAAATGTAGTCACGCACATGCATCCATGCATATCCGCTTCTGCCCTCGGCTGCCGGAGCTTCCTAACCTTACCATACCATAGCATCATCATCATGAAGGCGCCGCGAAGGCACAGGCAAAGGAAGACATGAAAAATGCACATGCACCGCAAAATAGCACACGTGCAAACAGCACCACAGTGGCCCCTTGGCCTTGCCACGTACACGCGCCAGGTCCGCCGCCACCACCGCGGGCCCCCTCGTCTCAATGACCATGACCATGACCATGAGATCCTGTCCCGTCAGCCACAATAACACTCGCATACAGCGGCCACAAGCCCCTGTCGCACATTGAACTCGCTACGCCATCGCGTCGCCATCCTGCACTACAAGTCTTGGGCGGCTGCCCACTTGTCGTTGAACCACGCCCAAGCCCATTGCATTCGCCCCACCCTAACAATAGCACACCACACCATACTCACCATGTATGCGCGTGATTGTATAAATGAGATTCTTACAAGCGCGTGACTTTGAACCCCGGCCGCCGTGCTGCCGTTGTGCCGCCGCCATCCACCCAGCGGATGCCCTCGAAGAAAGCCACCTCGCTCAGGCTCAGACTCTGCACCGATCCGTCGTCCATGGAGTCGTCAGCACCCATGCCCAACCCCATGCCGCCGTGCCCGGTACCTGCGGCCTTGGCAAGCCCTGCTAGCCCCGGCATGCTGCTGTAAGCCGGCGCTGCCCCTGCCACATTGCGCCAAACGGAAGAGGTACTGCTAGCGGATCCCGTCGCTGCAAGGGGCAGTCCCCCCGGCGGCCTCGCTGACGCTGCCCCCGTCGCTGGCGGAGGTAAAATCCGCAGGTCCGCGGCACTGACACTGGCACTGGCACTGGCGCTGATCTCCACTCGGGAGGGGTCAGCGGCGATGAGGGTGAGAGAAGGGTCCACGTCCACGCCAAGTTGGCTGCTGCGCCATAGCTCGTATGCCTGCGGGGCGGCAGCATGGGGCGTCACGGCAGACGGTAGGGTGAATGCGTGCGAAACGTGCAAACAGACGGAATTGCTGGCGCATTTATGCGTCAACAAAACAGCACGCGCGTCACGGCATGATGGCAATATTGGGGCTCAGGGGCTCGACCAGCCTAAGCGAGGACGACTCGGTCCTAGGCCAGGGTTTCTCTCGCGATCGCCCGCCGTTTCGCCAGCAGCGCTTACCTCCGGATACGTCCTGAGGATGTGGCTAGCCAGCCGACCCTCATCTCCCAGCGCCAGGGATATGTGCAGCGGCGTCAGCACCAGCACACCACCGCCCACGAGCCCGTCCAAAGATGACCCGCGGCCAAGCCCGCCGGTGCTCTCGCCACCGCCGCTACCAGCCGTAACCGCTGCTCCCCCGGTCGCGGCGTTGCCACGCGGTAGATCTCCCACAGCCAGGTTGGTGATGGCGGCAACACCGCTGCCCTGACTCGAGGGAGCCGCAGAGGAGGCGGCTGTCTGCCGGTGGTTGGCGCGGAAATCGATGATCCGGAAGGGACTCTTCTCGGAAATATCCTTATCCCCTACGTCGAAATCCGATTCCAGATCTAGATCCACATCCGCGATCACCACGTCTTCTGAATCTGGTGCTGCGGCGGTGGTGTCCATTCCGGCCGCGACCGCGGCGCCAGAGATGACTGCGGGTGCGGCGGCCTTGGCTGCGGCTGGGGACGCATGGGCAGGGTCACCAGCACTGCAGCCGGGGCGCATCTCAAACGCGAGTGAGGTGGTGCGTCGGACGCCGTCTTGCGACAGCTGTGGCAGCGAAACCCGGGAGGACCTGCGGGGCAGCAGCCAACGCAAATGGAGCCCAGTTCGCAGTTGGTTTGGTTTCGGAGAAATAAAGGCTAAAGGTAAGTTTAACACAACAACACAGGCGGAATATGGGCGGACCAGGAGTACGGACGGGCGAATGCACGCGTTCATGCACCCCATTCACTTCCGCGGCCCAGACTATGTTACGGGTCTCTGCTTCTCTCCTCTTTCCCGGTTTCTCCCCCCGGTCCCCATCATTTCCATGTCTCACCTGCGCAATGCCGGTGCCACCCCTGAGCTGGCAGGCTGCGCGACAGCTGCTTCCGCTGCGGCGGCGCCAGCAGCCGCGAGTGAGGCCGTGTCCCCTACGGTACTGCTGGCGCAGGAAGCGGAAGACACCGCCAGAACAGCCGCCTCGTGCGCCCAGATGTCCTTCAGGCCGCAGCTGGTGGACCACTCCGCCACCAAGTCCACCTGTTTCAGGAGTTGCCAGAGGGGCGTCGGCATGCGGGCGTCGTCAAAAGGGAAAGGGGGAAAAGGGGGAAAGCACCGTAAAACACATCGGATTAGAAATGCGGAGAAAAAAACTCGCTGAGGGAAAAAAACGCAGGACAGGCAGTGAGAAACTGTATACAATGCACCTTAGTATTGTGTACCAGCAAGGAAACGTAATTGTACTCACCAACGTACTAAGCCTGAAAATGCTAAGACCTTCGCAGACATTTCGTGGGACATGGAGAAAATGCTGAAAAACTAGCTAATGAAGACCGGGGAGGGGTAGGGAGGAAGTGAGGGACGGTGGAAACATCAGGGGGAGTTGGAACGGTGTCGTGCGGCGCCGCATCCACAGCGAAATCATCCATCCAGCAAGCAACGCAAGCCGTGCGCCAGTGCTAGTAGTAGTTCTTGTTGTTGTTGTTATTACAGCGGGCTACCAAGTTTCTCTATACCGTAATGCAAAGAAATGGAGCCAAAGGGCACATCGCCGGTCGCTGTAATAGACACGACACACACACACATAGCCTGGAAGGGAAGGACAAGTGGACCGTACCGGCACGCACAACACCTCAACAAGCTCAGCTCTACGACTGAGACCGGGGGCTAGCACTGCTGATGCCAACAGGGGGATCAATTTTCGCCAATACGGCTCCCCTGTGATTGACCAACTCACAGGCCTACAACTACCGGCCGGCGTACTAGTGTCGCTCGATGTGAAGAAGTGCGGCCAAATACACACGGGACCGCCTTCCTATCAAGCTGTGCCTAAGAAGTCACCCGAACGGGGTGGAATTACCGATCCCCTTCGTCTGTGAGCGGATCCATGCAAAGCAAATTGTCCCCTACTACTCGTAGTAGTAGTAGTAGTAGTATGGCGGACCACTGCTCGGACAAGGACAAAGACGCGAAAGCCCCCGAGACGCGACGCAGAGGGCAGTAGAAGGTAAACGTAAAAGAGGAAATCAGGCCAACGGCCCTCCTCCTCCATTGCTACGACCCACCATGCGCGCATCGGATGACTTGACGGCCGCATGCAGAAGCGGTAGCTGCGTCACCGGCGTCCGCGCTCCCTCCAGCAGCCCGCGCAGCGTGGCGCCCATCTCCCCCACCAGCATCCCCATCAGGTGCTCCGACAGCGCCACGCAACCGGCCTCCACCGCCACAGCCAGCAGCATGGACCCCTGGCACAGCAACAGCTGCCGTAACGTCTCCTGCAGTGGGTCCAGCGCCGGGGCGCGTCCACCGCCGACGCTGGCGTCGCGACTGCCACAGCCGGAGACGGGGCGCGGCTTAACATACATAAACTCGCTGCCGTAGCCGTGGAAGTACAGCACATTGGCGACGCGCTTCACGCCCGCGCCCCCGCCAGCATTCCCTGCATCCGTCAGTCCCCGCTCCAGGGCGGCTGCCTGGGCCAGCCATGTCCCCAGCTCCACCAGAAATTGGTCCGCGGCGGCAATATGACCCTGACCCTTAAGATCATTCACATAGCGTCGAACATCTTCGATCCAGTTGCTGGTGGCGGCACCTGAGGCGCCTCCGTCCACTGCCTCCGACGAGGCCTCCGGCGCCGCCGCCGCTGCCAACAGCACTGGATGTGAGCAGATGCGCCGGCGGCCGCGCCAGACCTCGATGTGCACCAGGCCGGGCATGTCGGCGGGCGAGGCAACCAGGGTGAGATCTGCGCTGAAGGAAGTTGGCATGTGCGGAGGCGCTGCAGTGGCGCCGGCGGGCGCAACCAGCGTGCGCGTGATGTCGCGAACGGCGTGAGCAACGTGGACGCCGGAGGACATCGCGGCGGGATTGATATGACGAAGGACGACCTGAAAGCAAGCGGCACGGAGGACGAGGCAGTGCCAAGTTGGCAAGTTCACCAGAGCCAAAACGAAGAGCATGAAATGTCAGAAATGCATGACCTCTGGATATGTTGCTAGCTGACCACAAAGATGAGCCGCCGCAAGCCACAACCATACAACCTTGTGAGATGATAGCGCCTAGGTTCCATAGCGCCTAGGTTCCCAAGCGAACCCGCACCTGCAATTCCCCCATGATTGCAGGAGCACATGTGAAGTGCAGTTGAAGATGTGCGGCGCGGCGGGGAGCCATCACCACCAGCGGGGCACTGAGCGACACATCGCACGGGTCGCTAATGTCAGCCGCGGAGCCGAACGCCGCTGCCACCGGCGCAGCGGCCGTCGCGGAGGCGTGTTTCACGTCCTGCGGAGGCGTGTGCCCACAAGCGTGCAAAATCAGATGTGAGGGTCATGTGCACGGGAGGACAGAACACAAAAAGGAAGGATCAAGGGACGCGCTTGAAGAGAAGAACGCCTGGCTGTCGCTGTCAAGCTATGGCCGCCGCATACGCCAGATGAAATAGTTTGCGCAGGTCCCAAAGACCCCGTAGAGACTGCACAAAATCACACATTTGCCCCCAAGCAGGGATTTCAAACGGTGATGAAACCATGCATCAGGGGGCCGCATACCTGACGTCATTGTGCTCATTCACGTCGACACAGCTTCACCTATAAGGAAGCTACTGGAGGCTATCGGTAAATGCTACCAAACTACCTGTGGGCCACCCAACAGAGTTATAGGCGATCTGGCAGCCCTTGAGCCCTTGGCTGGTACTCAGCTGTTCGCAGGTGTGTATGCGGCTACGCACCACCATGACCATGTAACACACACGCACACACAGAGCTACCCCGCAGAATATCAGCGTAGAACCGGAAAAAGCGTTGTCACCCAGCAACCCGGTGGATGCCGGTCGGATGGCGTACCTCGGCAGGCAAGGTGCTACCAGTGGCCGTCGTTCCGTTGGCACGGATGGTCTCATCAGCCGCATCTTTGGCGTCGCCACCCACCGCACAGCACCGCGAGCAGGGGATCAGCGCCACCGCTCGGCTCTCAGTCTCCTGGCCCCCCTCCGATGCTGCAGTGGCTGCGACAGCTTTCTTCTCCTCCTCCCTCTGGCAGCAGCCACCGCTGCTGCTGTTGCTGTGGCGTCGATGGCTGCGGAACGCCTCCAGGTGGCGAAGCTGTACACAGCGGAGGAAGAACGGGGGGCTTTCAAAGCAACGCAGCAATAGGGGAAATTTGGCTGGATTACAGGAGCCCAGGGCAGTGGCACAGGGGTGGGTTAGGAGGGGACAGGGTTGGCCATATCGTTCTAAATTACATACAGGCAGGCGGGCAACTGGCTGCATGCATGTTGCACAGGAAGTGGGTGGTACAATGAGCGAACAATGCCGATCAAGCACCCCGTAATATCTTGGTTCAAATTCCATAACGACTCTGGAAGGAAAAAGCAGGAAGATAAAACCAAGCTGTGCCTTTTTTGTTTTTGCAGCGGTGGCGTCGTTGCGGCGTGTCAGTTGCCGACTGTCGTCCCGCCGAGGGCATCACAGCAGCGCGTTAGGGAAGAGGAGCATACTGGTCCGGTTGCTGGCCCCGGCGGCGGCGGAAGCAACCGGGCCCGGGTCCCTAGATCCCGAGTCGATCTCGCCCATCCCGCCTTGCCTTGCCCTGCTCTGTTAGCCCGCAATTTTCCCACCACGATCCCCATAGCGCACGGAATACAACTGATCATTGCAAGAACAGTCTGGAGATGCGATGTTGTCGACGGCATAGGCACACAGCCAGGGAGCCTCCCACACACACCTCCCAAAGCCCACACACACAGCTCAACCAATCCCTACCCCGTGATGCCGGTCAGCAGCCATAAACGATGCCCAACCAGCCCTTTTCGCGCACCTGGAAGTTAGCCGAGATCAGGAACAGGAGCCCCTCCCAGCCCAGGTGCAGCACCATGGCATCCCGGAGAGCCGAGCTGGTCCGGCATACGAACACGTGAACGTATATGGACATCACGACGGAAGGGAATCGGACCACGAAGAACGTCCGCACAGGTGGCTGCGTTGTCAGGTGGCGGCGCGTTGTCCCGGGGAGAAGGAAGGGGCCGCCGGGAGGACATGGACATGGACATGGAAAAAAGGGGAAAGGGGGCATTAGGGCATGCGCAGGGGATGGAGGCGGAGAGTGTCAGGGAAGGGTAATTAACGGAGCGACAAATGTCGGAGGAGCTGGGGGGGAAAAGACGAGCCACGAGCGAATGAAGCTGCTGCCAAGGAAAGACTGCCGCTGCGGCTGATGTGCAGGAAGCAGAGCTGACCAGTCGGCGGTTGTGAAGAAGCAGTCCTCGCGCGCCAAAGAGCAGTAGACCCAAACCGTAAAATAGTAAAGGTGGGTGTAAACGTGGCGAAAGAGTAATAAAAACTGACGTGAGAAGAGAAAGGGAGGACGTGAGCTGGAATAAAGTATGCCGCCGGCCTGGCGGCGGCATTGAAGAGGCTGGAGCAAAACTGCCTGATAAGCTGGTAGTAAGCTGCTGGTGACATGCAAGTGCTCCTCCCAACCTCTAACACGCGCCCGACCCGACCGACCCAACTATCCTAATCCGGCTAGCCGAACGACGCAACGCGATATACCGACATAGCTCGGACGGAGCTGGGGGGACACTGGGGAAATAGCGACAGCCGCGGGGAGCTGCAAGGCCTGCTAACTTGCTCTGCAGCACACATGCACGACCACTGTGACCTCCGTCAACCTTCATCCTGCCTGTACACGTGTTCAAATGGAATGCAGTGCAGGCCATTAGCCACTAACAGGCCCCAAACCAAGCGGCTGGAACTCATGCCGCCTCCCATATTTCCGTCCAAGCCATATTCAAGGCGCACCACGCTATCGCCCAGTGAGCAACAGACACGGACGTACCTGTATGCACAGGGCCTGAAGCGTGGTGATGAGCACCACCTTTTGAATCCATCGACCCGAGATGCAATCGGTGTCCTGCGCCGGACACCACCGCAGCAAAGGAGAACCAACTGTTATTCCATTTCCATACTGCTCACAATGCCATGAGATGTTATTGCAAAACAAACGGACACACTTCGTGAATAAAAACAGCTACATACAGACTGCGCGGCATGTGCAACCCGAACCTCTTGCAGGCACATTACCTTGAGCACATGCGGCAGGACGCCGGAGGTGCAGGCGGCCATCTGCAGCGTGCGCAAAACCACACCCACATACACCAGGCGGCAGCGCACGGTGCGCCAGGCGGCACCGCCAATCGCCGCGTACCCGGACAGCGAGAGCAGCTCCGTGGAAATGAAGAGCATTAGCGTAACGGGGTTGACATGGCTGTCGGAGCGCACCACAAATAGCGCCATCGCGGTGAGGCAGATGAAGGCGGCATAGGCCCGGTGCAGTGCGCCCACACGCTCAGACAGGAAACGGCAGTACTCTGGGCTGTACAGCTCCGTAGGCGGGAACAGAGCAGTTCGCAGGGGCTCGGAAAACAGCCGCGGCCAGGCAGGTGGCCCGGCAGTGGCGACCAGGTCAGCCGTCGCTGCCGTAGCCTCCTCCTTCGGCGGCTTCGCCGGCGACGGCGCCGCAGCAGCGTCAGGCTCAATCTCGGAGGCCATGGAGGCGATGGAGGTGGCAGTAATGGTGCTAGTGGTGGTATCAAATGATGCGGCGGCGCAAGTGCCGACGGGGACGGCGTCAGAGGCAGAGGATGGCAGGGTCTTGATCTGGTCGCCTAGCTGGATCGAGATGGGCTTGGCCGGGCCAGCTGGCAGATCCGGCGGCAAGCCCAATAACTGCAGGAGGCTCTCCGCGCCCATGCCATCCATGAAGTCTGGAGAAGGTTGGTGTTTAAAACGTGGGACGAGAAATCGACAATCCGAGACTGATGTTAGCTGGAATGAACGTGAATGAGTGAATTTATGAAAAAGGAAATGAAGCTGAATGGGCACACAGGTGTGCGATAAATGTAGGAGCATGAGGGAGAGAACGTCCCATGCACAGCCGAAGGTGTACCTGACCAGGCTGACAGATGTACACACACACACACACACACTCAAAAAGGAGACAAAAGAAGATACGCAGACATAATTGCGCGCAGGATAGCAATGTTCCGACCGACGGACACACATACATGACACGCGGTGTATGCACACACCGTTCAAGACTGCCATCGGATGGTGGCCATCGGTGGCACCAAACGGCTGCTCGGAGTACGATGCTCCAGGAAAGCCAACGTCGCCTGGGGCGGCGGCGTCAATGCCGCCGCCGGCCAAGGAAGCCACGCCCATGCCGGCGGTCGCTGCTGCCGTCGCTGCCGGGCCCCCCACGCCTCCTTCACCGCCACCTGATGTAGTGGGTGCGTACACCAGGTCTAGGTGCACGATGAGGCTGCCCTTGCGCACGCAGATGTTAGCCACGTGCCAACCAGGCGCCCTGGATGTGGGCGCAAGGTTGGGAGGGAAAGGCGAACCAAGGTTGGGAGGGGTACAGAAGTAAAGGGGTGGAGAAGGCATCAAAGGCCATGGCGAAGAATGCGAATGCTGGCATCAACGCCAAACGCCTGTCATGGACGAGTGTGCGAGTTTGCGCGAGCAGGGCCCCTCCATCCAGGCACCGCTACTAGAACCGCAACATCACGCATACGAAAGAAACGCGCGCGTGAAGTACCATCAGGAAGTGGTACATCTCCATGCCATACTTCGTTACCCCGAGTTATGTTCCGACGCACCCTTCCGCGATGGCAGATGCCAGCTTCTCACGCCAGTTGCCGGACAGCATTTCCGGTTTTGCGGCGGGGATGTAGAACTGGGCGGAAGAACACTGCGGGCCGCCCGCCTGATCGTAGACATGGCGGAACGGGGTTTGGGGGTTAAGTTGGGGAACTAGGGAGGAGAAGAAATACATGAGAGGTACAATCGATAACACAATCAGTGAGACATCGCGCAGACCCGAAATCTCAAGAAATACTTACAAGAAAGGAAAGGTCACTTTGTTTGATGTTTGATGCATTGAAGCGCTGGGAATACTTGCAGCAAGATATCTAGTATGGTGCCCGTGTATCAGCAACCCAGCCGATCGAACAAAACCCACCCACCTGGCGACGCTGGTGCGACAGCAGGACATAGGAGGAGGGGCCCCGAGCCACGCTGCGAAGAGCCCGCATGAAGAGCTTATGGGACACGGTGGAGGATGGTGATGACGATGATGATCCCGCGATGGAGCTGCGGGGTGTGGGTTGCAGAGAAGTGGGAAGGTTCCCAGGGGGGTAGTGTGGGGCTAAGGAGGGGGAAAGACAACCGTTAAGTTGAGAGAGCCAGTGATGATGTCGACAGTGTTGAAGGGATCGCGGTGCAGCAACGGGGAGTAGCGTTTTGGGTTAGGAAAGGAAAGACCGCCGACTTCGACCATTAAGCTCCGCTGGAAGGGGAACTAAACAGGGCGCCTCGTATGCAAACATGAGAGCCATCACGGCCATCATGGCCAGCAGGGGTATACAATGTGATGGATGGGACGGGGAAGCATCGGCGTTTATGGTGGGTGTGAGATGTGGAGTAGAATTGAAGTTGCAGGGAAATAGGAGCATAGCACGCGGATGATTGCGAAGGCCCAGGTAGGGCACATCACGGCATCGCCCTTTCCTTCCCAGTACATCCCGCCTAATGCCTAAGCAAACGTACTCAAACGCGCTCGAGTCCAATGAACCCCACGCAAGATGGGAAAGTTTCGGTAGCTCACAGGATTTGCCGTCAAGATAAGTGTGCTTGCCTCAAACCCTGCCCTTGACGGCTTATTGTTCGTATTTTATCAAGACGTTGAAATAATTGGCATTCGATGTTTCAGCATTTACCAGATTCCTGCATTTCGCATTCGTCAACAGGACTGCCCGGGCACGCCGAGCTGCCAACGGGATTGCCATGCGACGAAACACACTTGTGTTTCGCGGTTCGCGACTACCAAATTTGAGGGTATAGACAATTACCTTGCCAATGTGGACGGAATGCCAATGGGCGCGTGCGGGCGGCGTGCATTTGTGAATTGTTGTTCTTGTTGTTGAGACGCATGCACACGAGGATGCACACGAGGATGCACATAAGCGCAACATTGACTCATTGGGTGACTAGGCGGACCAAACAGTAAAATCTCTTCCAGGGCATGCTATAGCAAACATCGCGCAACACTGCATCCGCAGGGCGGGGGGATCGTTGTCAGGAGTTGCTAGGATGGCCGAGATTTCACGGCCGAGGGAGCTGCAGGGCAGGTGCTAGACAAGAAGCTGTTGTGCAGCTGTCTGCAGGCGTGCATATAGGCACGTACCTTCGGCGCAGCGGCCCTGAGGCCGACGGCATGCCAGCGGTCCTGCGCTCGCTGCTCACACGAATAGCCACATCAGTAGCAGCCGCAGCTGCAGCCGCCTGCGCGTCTGCCGACACAGCAGCAGCATTATTGATACGGCTTTGCGGGTTCTTCACAGAGGGCGTCACCTTGGGCCTATCCTCCTGGACGTTCGATTCGCCGGAGGGCTCAATTTCACAGCTATCAGGACGGTCGGCGCTGGCAGCTGCGGTGGTGGTAGGGGAAGTGGGTGTGGATGACCTGGCGGTGGTGTGGCTAGGAGCAGCGCGGCCGCTGTCGTTGGCGGCATCAACGTTCTGGCGCTGGCTGCGGAAGGCGCTGACGTGGCGCGCTTGCAACATGGAGGAGAAGGTGACGAGCCAGAGCTGCCAGGCGAGGCTGATGGTGATGATGCCCCAGGTGGGGGTGTCGGCCAGCACGTTGTATCGGCGCCAAACGATGACGCGGATGACCGCCTCAGCGAACTGCACCACGTACTGTTTATGGACCGGAGTCTGGCATTCGGGATGTGGCAGAAGGGAACACAGCGGGGCAGTGGGAAGGTGGGGCAATAGGAAGGTGGGGCAGTGGGAAGGGGGTGTAGGGCGCGGCCAGAGGGGCATTATGAGGCCGCCCACAGGGAAGGAGGAAACGAGAAAGGGGGAATGTAGTTACGAAGAGGAGGAAATAAAAAGGGAATACATGCAAGGAACGTGACCATTTCACATACAGGTGTGAGGTGAGAAAAGGATAGCAGTCCACAGGAAGAGAGGCGCCAACAGAAAACTTCCGCGCCGGCGATAACGGCCCATCCATCCTTCATCCTTCAACACGATGCCGCCACAACAGGCAGGGACCGCTGCTACGCATGCCTAGTGCACTTTTCGTGCCCCACGCCATCCAGCGCACCGTGGCCAACCTGCCCTTCTCTCCCCTCCCCTGCGAAACTCCACCGCGACAGGTCAGGTCAGGTCAGGTCGTGCCCTGCGGACATCACTGACAGCACATCCTTACCTGGCTGAACGCGGCGTCCGCCATAGTGAGAAAGCAGTGCTTGAACATGTAGTGATTCTCGTTGGGGAGGCGGTCCACGAGATGGAAAATCTTGAGCACCGTGACGATACCATACGCTACGTTGGCCCACACGCAGATGCTTTCCCGCAGGCGCAGCCATGTGTTGCGACCGAAGAAGTATAACAGGACGGAGCTCAAGCTTATGGTCCAAAACAATTGGACCACGAATGTGTTGAACGCGAGGCCGTAGGTCTGCGTGAGGTGGAGACGAATCAGGACAAAGAGGAAAAGGATGTAGCGTTCGACGAGGTGAAGAGGACTTTGTGGAGGAAGGGCTTTGTGGAGGAAGGGCTTTGTGGAGGAATGGAGGAAGGGCTCCGGGAAGAAGCAGATTATGGAGACCCTTGCGGTGCCAGAAAGGGCCTTCGACATACCCGAGGCCCATTCCTTCCAACAACAGCAGAGACTTGGAGCGGGTGGTTGACATGAAAGGCGAAAAAGGGGGTTATTTGCAAGGTATGCAGACCTCCCAAAGCAGGCCGGGAGTTCCCACGAGACATCTCCGAGAGGGCACCTTCACCGCTGGGCAGTTTGGAACAGTTTTGCAGGTAGTACCAAAGGGGATTTCAGGGCTATAGGCCAAGGATTTTTCTTATGTATACTCATTTTCACTCCAAGAATTCAAAGGGTTGAAATGGGTTGACGGATAATTTCGTGAGCGGCATGGGTGAATATGCGTGGCAGCAGCGGCGTCGACCACAAGACGACGAGGTGTCGGGCAGTTCCCGGGTCATGGGATGTATAAGCCAGGCTAAGACCCGCCTAAACACGTCCGTTCTCCACACACACACACACACGCACACACACACACGCCCGCCCTCCCCCTGCTCTGAGGCGGGGAACATGGCTAGCCGGGTCACGATAGCGACCAAGGATATGCCGGATAGTAGACTGCCAACAAATAGCTACAATATGCTGCCAGCGTGCGATAGCGATTCGCACCGTCAATACGGTGCAGGTAGGGATGGGGAGCGCGCCTGCAGGCCAGTTCCCAAGTAAGGCGATACTTCTCCCGAATCATTCTTCACCCAGCTGCGCACCACTTGTGCGCTAATGCGCAACCATTCGGGGCAGGCAAGAGGCCACATCTAGACGTGCGATGCATGCGGTGATAGCCAACCACCGCAGGCCGCTACCCAAACGTACCAGCAAGAAGGCGCCTTCCGTTATAGTGCGGAAGATATGCCAGCCGATTGTAAGCCCTTGGACCTGGGATGTTACGTACCTTGTGGGAAAGGGCGAAGGACAAGGGGACAAGAATGTTTTTCGTCAAGATGCAAACCCATTCAGAAAGCCCTGGCAAATAAGTAAAGCGAGGTGGTGGAAAAAATCTGCCACCAGACGGGTGGCAGGACGAACAATTAAGCAGGAAGAAAGGACTCAGTCTTAGGCAAACCCCAAGGCCCCTTACTTGCTATAAGCTTGGCTTCGGACATCCGGCAAAGGGTTAATAGCGGCCAGTACCGCAGCGAAGAGAGTTGACACCAGAACCCTGCGTCGACCAGATGACATGCTCAAGGTTCAGCACGACAACCTATACGTGCTCCGTTCGGGCCTTTTCGCTCTTGTGCAGGAGCTGGTGCAACTAACAGGATAGTGACGCCAACGCTGATACATGCCGCTTTGTATACGTCCTCACCTAAGGCTAACGTGATTGGCCTTCTTGCCCTTGGCAAGGTACTTGTGAGAAAGTTCGTCCTCGGCGCTGACACGTAGAGTCCCCATGGGGGGAGAGCGTTTGCGCAGCATTTTATAATATCAATATAATGACATGGTTTTATTCCTAAGTATCGGCAAATAAGCTGTCTGCAGCCTGTCAGGTGCAGATTCGCTAAAAGTTGTAACCCGTATATCCGTACGTGTGAAAAACCACGACACAAACACTCATAACAGAGAAACTTAAATATGTCTTGCAATAACGTTTAAATGAAAACAATGTGCGTCACTCACCGGGTCAATATCTTCCCACCCAGAGACCTATGGCACGTTCACCGTGGGCTTTCCTATAGTCTGCAGGAAGTTACGCCTGTGCGAAACGTATATATGTAGCTTAATACGTACTTCCTCCTGGGGTCTTTTCCCCCTGAGCCTTTGCACTGCGGGACCCTGGCCTGTTAGGGATGCATATGTTTGAGGATCGCCGAGTATGAATCACGCAGGTGCTGCATTAATAGGTTGGTCAAAAAACCTTTGCGGCATGGAGCGACCGGACCTATCATGGATCGTACATGAGCAGATTATGTATTCACCGACAGATTATGTATTCACCGCAGGTCCAGATTTTCAACCCCGTTTGCAGCAACCTTGTGCCCGTGGATGGGACGCGACATGGGCCTGATGGCCTGCGCAGCTGTGCACCGTCTTTGGCTCCCCAGCCTCACTGGCCGTTGCTCCAGCACGGCGCAGTCTGGCCGCTCCGGTCACCTATCGGTCCGAGACGTGTTCAGACTTATTGAATGACCCCCCTTTTAAGGGCCTGGGCATCCCCCAAATGCCGTGTAGTGCTGTCATAAGCCCTCTGCAGCGACGACAGCGCATTACTTAGGGACTTACATAATGTACCCGAAGCCGTTCACCCGGATATATACCAACGACTTTGGCACCGCAACACGCTGCAGCTCATCCATGCAGCATGCAGCCAAGTGCCACCCAAGTGCCATCATCCATGCGTACTCAACAGGGACATGCAGGCGCAGCTCACACTCAAACCGACGAGCTATGTGCCGTAAGCACGCTAGCAGCCCCATACGCCGAACTGGAAAGCTCGGTGACGCGCAGCGGGGCTCCATGCAATTGTAAATCAGAGCACGTAAAGCCGCCTTTACAACCATTTACGACTGCTCGGTCCTTCTGTGACGATGGGCGGTACGTTGGTACGATCCATTCACCAGCTCTACCCCGTGGGGTAGCCCGTCGAACCAAGATCTGGACCCGACGTCATGTTAGACAATCCTTTAAAGGAGACTGTTGCAATGTAACACTCATATACCAGCGAAAGTTGACAGCAGTAATAGCCAATAGGACCCGAGGGGTGCAACAAGAGCAACCGCTCAACCCACCAAGTCGCTTGGCAGGCAGTGGGCAATCATGGAGATGGGTGCTTCCTATCCGCCCTGCCCACTAGCACTAGACTGGGCACAGTGGGCTGTGGTTAGGGCAGGGCTTGGCGCCCTAGGGAGGCTCCAGAGATCCCCATCGGCCGGCATGTTCGGAATATGGGTGGGGGTTTGGGGGGAATGTTTGGAGGGAGTAATCCGGAAGGGAGCGTGGCCGGCAACCTCCGGGCCGTGCCTTTTTCCCCTCCCACATGTCGCCCTCCCGAGCGGGATTGTAGGCTCGTAGGCCGTTCGAGTGCACCCGCTGCATTGTGTGGGTGGTTCTGTTGCTACTTGAAAACGAGTGGATCTTGGGCATCGAGCAGGAAGGAAGCTACGTCCTCTCGCCACGAAAAAAAACTTGGTGAGAGGACACAGCTTCCATCCTGCTAACTCGGGCTCGTATGCCTCATAACTGATCTGTAGCTATCTCTTTCTGTCTATCTATCGAACATACGCACCCCGATTGGAAGGGCTGTTTCGGAAGTGGAGGCCTCATCTTTCCAAGGGGAGTGGAGTGTTACATGAGTTACATGAGTTGAAGAGCGCGGCCAAGGAAAAAAAACAAGTCCTAGCAGGGGACAACCACGCAAAATCTCCGCAGTCGCCTCCGGCACTGCTACGTTGCTACAACCAGGCGACATATTGCGCAGGAATAAATGTATGCGGCTCGGTTGCCCAATAGGTGTTTAGCTTTCTCCAGCATTCCAAGTCGCCTATCTCGTGGCCCCGACTGGAAAACGCTGCACCAAATGTGCAAAGTGTGTTCCTTGTTTTATATTGCCGTGCGAAGTTCAGGGGTGTACTACTTCACAAGCACGTTACAAAAGGTAACTGTTTAGGTAGCCTTCAATCCGCAATAATTCAGACCCACATCCCCAATGGCAAACTTCGTCCTTGGGCGCAACCAGCACGAACGTTTCGTCCGTGTTCCGTATACATGACGTCCGGAACCACCGAAAGGCCAACATATTCCAGGGGATCGCAAAGGTATATCCATGCATATCCAATTTTGCCGCTCATATAGTATATCTTCCACCCATTAATGTGTGATATGTTTGGAAAAGTGTGGCGATTACGTGGCAACAGACGAGAAATAGCCGGGGTGGCTTTATGCGGGCACAACAGTTTCGTCTCCATCAGGGTCCTTGCTTTTGGCAAAGTGTTGCGCACCTGTATAGGACGGCTGCAGGCCCCACAAAGGTCAACTTTCTACCTTTAACCGTTCCAGCAGCGTCTTTTCGTAATACTCCGTTTTCCGCCCGGTCAGCATTTATAATGGGAAAAAGTGGTCCAATCTTGCTCGGAGGCCACCGCGGGTGAGTCTATTGCAAGCTGAAGTAGCTCACAGTTGGGCATGTCGTCGTTTCGGAGGCCAGGCCAGAGAACATGTTGCATTTCGTGGAGAACCCTGCCTGTCGGGATTTTCCGACGTATGCCTGACGCGTTTAAATAACAGGATGGGCGAGAACTTGGCGACCAAGAGCCCGGACGGGAATACAGGCGTGTACCCGGCTTTTCGCGAGAACACAATTGAGTCCTTTCAAGAGGCAGCAAAGTGTGGCGTGGGCTTTGTTGAGTTTGACGTGCAGGTAGAAGGACCTAATGCCAACATACTAGTCAGTTTTGGCTCCAGTGCCATCGGGTTTGCTTACATCCCCTGCGGCCGCGCTCTACCTTATATGGGTGCAAGCAATCTCCAACGTCTCACGCTGGACCTTCTTGCACGGTTGCCTTCGACCCCGTCACCTATCCGACCTGTTTCTTTTGTAACTGTCCTTCCGATCCATGTCTCACTCTCACCCAGGCGCATCTCAACGTGTCCCAGCGTTCATACGCCCCGCACTTTTAACCCTTCACCTAATTTTCATATCCGAGACTTTAGTATGCCGACAGCTAAGCTCCCCAATCCACTCAACGTTTTTACAACAAGTGGCACGTCCATCAGCACGTGACACCTTCCATCTCCTTGTCGTCCTACTGCCGCAGGTGACCCGCGACAACGTGCCAGTTATCTGGCACGATGACGACGTGGTCATCGGACCCGCAGACCATCCCAGTCGACCTCAGGTGAAGGACCTTACTCTCGCCGAGCTCAAGGCCCTGTGCGGGCGGGGTTCCAGCGGAGCCGCCGCCGGCGGCAGCCCTGGCCCCAGCCCCAGTTGCGCTGCCGCTGACGCGGTCGCGACCGCGACCGCGACCGCGGGCTCATCCCCCAGTGCCAGCAGTGACAGGATCCAAGCGGTCGGTGGCCTCGATGCGGCCCAGCAGGTTCAGCAGGAAGAGCAAAAGCGGGGCAGCAGCCTGCTTCGGCTGTTTCGAGATAGATTCACCCGGCAATGGGCAACCAGGTGAGAGATAGGGAAAAAGGAAAAGGAACCGGAAGCGGTAAGGAGATGCCGGGGGAAGGCTCGTCAGGTGCTTTCTGGCGTGTGAAAAGCTCCTCATCATGTGAATGCATGTTTGGCGGAAGCGCTGTCATCAACCCTGCTGTGGTTCGCAGGTACGAGCAGTGGAATTGCGACCAAGATGGTGCCATTCCCACACTGGAGGCGGTCTTCGCCGCGTTGCCGCCCGAGATCGGATTTGACATCGAGGTAGGACAGACAGGCTGGTGGGGGCGATGTGGGTGGTCAATGGTGGTGAGGTCTTACCGGTCCTACCTGTGCTGCTCTCACGGCCATGGGTGACGAGGTGTCTGCAAAGGGGTCTCTCATTAGCCGCCCGGGATTGCGGAACCTGTTGGCAGACATAGACACCGACACCGACACTGACACTGACTCTTGACTCACCCAAGTAAGCGACCCCGAGGGGAGGGCCCGCTTACACTTTGTGTTCTTTGGTCTTTTGGGGGTCCAACGGTTGCTCATCGATCTGGGTCATTGGGTCAACATATTTGGGTCCTCTGTCTTCCGGGCCATCTGGGTCGACGGCAACCGCAACCCGTTTTTGTTGACCCTTTTTGGATCTCTGATTGACATGATCAGTCTGTCAATGCAGGGATGTTGCATGAGTGAGCGAACACAAGTATATTTGATGATATGAATGGACTCAGTACTTGAACTTGAAGAAGTATCCACAACTTTTAAAAATGGAAAATACATAGTAGATGAGCACATGGCCCCTGTGCAAGGATGACACACATCGCCAAGTGAGCCGGGCCAAATGAGCCGGCACTTTTAAATATCCGTGTCATCCAGATCCAGGTCCAGATGGACGCGGGCTGGAGCGTTCACGTCACCTGCGTGGAGAGGACGCATTGAGGATCTCACTATATATGTATGTTATCGACTAGCAGCCGCACATTTTGACCAGCCGACTTTTGACTACGCACAAAATTCTTACTAACTCCCCCCGCAAACCAAACGCGACACCCATCTGCGCAGATCAAGATGACCACGGGCGATGACGTGGTGCACACGCCGTCTGAAGAGGTGGAGCGCATGCTGAGCGCCATACTGCCCGTTGTTCATCGCTGCTCTGCCGCTGCGACTGCGTCCTCCTCGGGGCACTCATCATCATCATCATCATCATCATCGTCAACATTATCCACTGCCTCCGCGCCTTCGTCATCACTGCCCGTTTCTGCGCAGCACCTGGCCGACGGTGACGGCGCTGCCGCGGCGCCGCCGCCGCGCCGGCGCCGCATTATCTTTTCGTCCTTTGACCCCGACGTGTGTGTAGAGCTGCGCCGGCGTCAGGTGGATCACCCGGTGTACTACTTGTCGGGCTGTGGGCTGTACGCGCATGCAGACGCGCGGCGGACGTCCATCCCCGCTGCGCTGTCCTTTGCGGCGGAGACGGGCATGCAGGGCATTGTCTTACCCGCGTCTGTGCTGCTCAAGGTAGGTTCCCGGGTGGGCTGTTTGTTGCTCCTCGCCCCGGTGAAGTTGCGGTTGGACTGTTGCTATACAGTTACAGTTACAGTTACAGTTACAGGGGGTACGTCAAAGCCCGGGGGGCTAGGGACCTATATGCTATATATATGTTGTGTGCGTGTGTGTGCTTAAACTTCTGGAGTTGCGTTACTCTCCAAAGGTGTCGCCACGATAGCCCATACCTGGAGCCCTGAGGGGTGCGGCCCAAAGGCCAGCCTACATGTTCTGTCCCTGTCACATCAGCTACGGCGCCTCAGGCCTGCAGCTATCAGTCGTACTTGAGGTGCTTCTGCTGCTGTGTTGCTACAGGCTGCTTGCTTGGCTAAATGGTGCTGCATCCTTTATGCTGTATCCGTTATGGTGCCGTTTCGTCGCAGAACATGGACATGGTGGAAAGCGCGAACCGCAGCCACCTCCAGCTCATGACGTACGGGCTGGAGAACAACGACCTGGACTGCCTTAAGGCTCAAGCAGATGCGGGCGTGGTGGCCGCCATCGTGGATGAAGTAGCGGGCGTGACAGCCGCGCTCCACGCAGATAGAAACGATGATACCACCACCGCCACCACCACCACCAATGCACATGATGTTGCTGATGCTGTCGCCGAAGGCAATGACAGCGGCAGCGGCCTCTAGAAGACGACGATTTTTGCTGAAAAGGGCAAGGATTGGAAACGACAGGCACGCCTCTGGAGATTTAATGATTCGAGGGAAGGAATTTGCCCCGCGGCGTGCCCCGGCATTATGTGTGTAGCTCATGGTGGTGGTGGTGGTGGTGGTGGTGGCAGCGGTGGGGGCGGGGCATCTGGGGGTAGCTAGGGTTGGGAATGCTGGCCTCGGACACAGGCCCAAATGGTGTTTGGGGGTAATCCTCGGGTTGTGCGAGAAGGACGTCGTGCGGTGTGTCAGTAACGCGAAGGACGTGCGCGGTAGTGACGTGGCGTTTTCCACTTGCAGTGGTAAGCAACAAAGCTTGGGCAGGCGGTGGAGTAGGCAAATTGCCTTGTCCGAGGTTTGATTGCTGTTTTTAATTGTAGTAGTAGTAGTAGTAGTAAACGCTAAAACGGCAGTAATTTATGATTGTATATAAAGAATACAGGTGTGAAGTGAGGGACCCGAAGGGTCTCGGTAAGGATTTACGGCGGTGTAGTGCTGATGGGCCCCCCTCTCAAGTTCAATATCCAGACACTTCCAGTCGCCTTTTACCGGATGCACAGTTCTTACGTCGGGTTAATGCTAAGTGGTGTTGGTGGTGGCGGTGCAGCGTTGCGGCTTGGTGGGCCTTATGCATGTGACTGGAAGAAAAGGAGGGGGAGAAAGAGGACGTGCAATGCTTTCCTTCGCTGCACGACAGTTGCCAAAGTGTTTTTCCTCCCATCCTCCCTTCCTCCGTCCCATCACATTATGTACGCATGTTTTGTTGGTTATTGGGGGAGTTTTACTGCTTTTTCCCGAATGATGATCCCACATTACACGCCCTTTCTCACCCTGCGAGTCCCTGTGAGCGCAACATCTCTATACGGTAGCGTATGGGGTTATAAAATGGCTCCGTATCGTGTGGCGGCTTGCCTTGGAATTTTGCTTGTCCGCGATTGGCTTCACGGGTTCTGTCGGGTGGTGCTCCTGACAGCTGGTCATTGCATGTGCCGCCATCCAGTCTGCGGCTCGAGCGGAGCACCAGCCCTTCCGCAACGGGGTTGCTCTTGAGCCTGGCTCGTCTTGGGGCTGATTCCGTGCTCTTGGACCTGATCCCGACCTACGAATGCCTCGAGGCTTGAGCCTGGCTCCAGCGGCTCTCCAGGCCGGGAGGAAGAAAGGATGCATGCCGGTAGCTGCAACTGGTTAGCGGTGTAGCGCATCAGGCTCATTATTAAGGTCCATGAAGACGTTGCATAACTATGCATGAGCGGACTTGACCGCAGACGTTTACGAATGCGTCTTCATCATGAAGTTTGCATCAATTTATCCATGAAGCTGGCCGCTGCAGTCAGCAGTCTCCACCACACGACCGCTTTCCTTTTTGCACTGCTGCTGTCCTGTGCTTTCCAATCCGCCATTAATCGTGTTATGGAGGAAGATCAGTAATTGCGGGTTCGTGTGTTGGGAGAAATGTTCGCTGGCATAACTTTCTGCCGCCACTACTTTCCAATCAGGCGGATCTGAGGGGGAGGCCATGCTGCTTATGGTATTTGCGCAACGGTTTCAGGCAGCAGGAGGATCCCTTGTGGTTGTGGGATTACGATGACGCGAGTGAAAAATGAACCCAAGGTCGTTACAGAAGAGGTAAAAAACCTGGGCAACCCTCCCCACGCATACACTGTAAGAGAGGGATTATGTAGTGCAGATCATGAACGGCTGTAACCCGTCCTCTGATCGAGAGACACGCGTGTAAGCACAAAAGGCCCGCTGCACCGCAAACCCACTCAGCTCGCAGCGACATCACATACGCCACACACTCACACACGCACCCGTGAATGCTCTTCTCCTCGCGCCTTCGCCACCTAAACCCATATACCCATTCCCGCGAAACGATTAATGGAGAGGATGCGCATTCCTTTAAGACCCACCCCACAGCAAACCAAACCGTGCGGGAGGGAATTCATCCAAATCGCGCAACCATAAGGGTGAAGATGGGGAGCTGCATTGCGGAAGCTGCACTGCGGATGCGACCGACCACACCACCACAGCTCAGCAACCTGAAGCCGAACCAGAATGCGGAATGTGGTTCGCAGCTCTCACGGTTGTTGGTCCTTATCAGGGAGCTTCTCTTCGTGGCCCCTCACGTTCCTGTCCCCTTCTAAGTAAGCACTCCCCCGACGTGTCGTCAACGTGTCATGCCCAATTTCCCGCCAGGGCACCACCAATCCCATTCCACATTCAAACACCCTTGTTCCTCCTCCCCGTCGGAGCCTGAGTCCGCTGTTTTTCTTTCCTCACACCCACTACCACCCCCAAAACACGCTCCGTAGTTTCAGCTCCAGCTTCGTTCTAACTCAGCCATTGACAGAAAGAAAGTCACTCCGGGCAGGCAGGCGAGCAGGCGGGGTGGCAGTGCCCACCCAGGACAAGCACCTACTAAGTCACCTCTATCTTCAAGCGTGCAAGCTGCTGTGAATACTCTTGCAAAAATATATATATCAACACACACACATTACCAAAAAAAGCTGCTGTGCATGTCCAGCACGCTCATCGACCGTGTGCCAGCCACATCCCACCGCGGCCAAAGACACCGCGGCAGAGACCCACACGTGGCCCCTCTTCGCTCCGCCGGCACGTTCCCATACCAGCCAGGTGACAACCTGCTGTGCGTCGGCCCCCCTCATAGCCACAAGTGCACAACCACACGGTTTTTGAACCACTGACGTAGTGGCGGCGTGCGTCATTCATTACCACCACCCTTCCAGGGTAACCACTACGCCTCCCTTGATCTCCACCACTGAACATCTGCGTTCTCCCTTTACCTAGTCTCCTCCTCCCCTTCCCTCTTGTCCTCCTCCTCCTCCTCACCACCACCGCCACCACCAGCACCCACACCACCAGTATTTCCCCCCTCCTCTCCATGGCCGCCACCTCTCGCATCCAGCCCCCGTCCTTCATCACAGGCTATCCAGCACAGCTGCCAGCTGCTGGGGATCATGCAGGGGCACTTGGGCCGCCTCCTCGGGGCTGTACTCCATCTGGGGACGGAAGGAGCGGGACGGGGGGCCCAGAGGGGAATAAGGGGAAGAGGCGGGAGCGTAGCGGAAAGCAATACCAACCAGGTCCGGATAGAGCAGGGGGCGAACTGGGGAAGCAATTGAATCGGGGCTACCCAGCTTTGGCGCTTTGGGTGGGTGGGGGGACACGCGTCCCATAGTGCAGCTCCTTCCTTCCCCAGACAAATCTAAATCACAAACTACACTTCGCGGCACCTAGCTGCCTACTACGACCCCAAAACCTGTCAGAACATTCCCCATCCCGAACCCGATCCACTGGAGCTACCGCCGAATGGAGCCCAAGACAAAACGGTTGCAAGCGACGCCTAAAAATCCGGTTATACGGTAATACGATTATAATTTAACTTATAAAATTTCTATATATAATATAGATATAATATAATACATTACATATACAATACACTATATACATAATTATATGTACAATATTATTACACATATGTTTTTATTATACAATGCATATTATATGTTATATATAAATCCGGTGGTACAGTAGCTGGTACTGTAGCCGTGCGCCGAAAACGCTCCACGAAATGCTGTCAGAGCGTTTGAGCGCGTGTTTATTATTAAGTGCGTCGTACTTAACAACAACCGTAACTGCACTGCACAGCCGATATATAACCTCTCCCCCGCTCAGCCCCCTCAGGAGTTACCCCCACCTGCAGCAGCTTGGCGATCTGGCCGTGCGCCTCCGCAATGTTGGATTTGACGGGTTTGAGCAGTATGCCGTGAGTGGCTGGGTTGGGCAGGTACAGCCTCATCTTGGATACGGCGGCCGGCAGCGGACCGGACAGTGCCGCATTGACGCGACCCACCATCTCAACCAACTTGGCAGGCGAGGCAAAGGCCTTCGGAGGAGGAGGAGGGGAAATGGTTTTGGAGCTACGGGTTATGGGAAGTTGAGAATGTGAGGATATGTTTTTTTAAAAGGATTTGCGAGCCCCAGGCCAAACCGGGCGAGTACCGGTTTCTATGTAACGGAAAAGCATCTCAACGTGAAGTGGAGGCGGCCATCCTACCACCTGCGGAAGAAGGCTGCGATGCTTTCCTGGTGGCTCTGCTTACCTGCTCGCGGAGAGGCTTGGTCGCCTGGGCCCCCGCTGCCGTAGTCGAGGCGGCACTTTGGCCCCCAGCTGCCAATCGCACTGCTGTGACCTGTACAAATGCATGGAACGGCACAGTACGGCAAGGGCAGAGCAGAAGAGGAAGTAGTAGACACGTACGTAATAAACAAAAGCGATGAATGCGAGAGGGAAGTGAGGGCGGGAAGGAAGGAAAACAGTACGCCAGAAGGGTTCACAAAGTATTGGAAGCTTCGGGTAAGCATTAGTACTTGCGAGCAGAAGAATGAACAAGCCAACCCGCCACTTCCACCCCAGCAATATGTACCACAGTATGACCTTATTTAAAATACGCCTCTGATATTTAAATAAACCTCCCCAAACTCAAATCGGCCCAAAACATTTACCACATGACCGCATGACTTCCGGCAGCGGCCAAACACACACACACACACACACACATACCGCACTTACGCATGCACATGTACGACACATGAGAGTCCTAGGTTCCGTACCTTGGTTATGAACGACAGCATGGGCTCCACCGCCACCTTGGTGAGGGCCATGATGAGCGCCTCGCAAACAGCCTGAGGTTGAAGGGGGAGATTGCGGGGGATTGTAAGGGTGGGGGGCCCATCGAGGGGGTGTGGAGGGTGTGAAGAGTGTGTAGAGAGTCCCAGGCTCTATTTTATCATTGGTTCAAGCCATAACGGACTTCTCTCACAGCAACACTTCAACATTCCCAAACGCCGCCTGTATCCCGGAGTGTGAAGGTACCACCACCATTCAGGACCTAGCATTCCATTTTATATCTCCCTAGTCCTTGACCGCATCCACACATCCACGCAAATATACAAACAAACATACATACATACACATACATACATACAAGGCAGGTGGCTGGCAGAAGTTAAGGCCTGACTTCTGCTCCCGGAGGTTCCGGGTTGAAATCCGCCTGCCGACCTCTCGGTGCGTGAGAGGTGTTCAATTGGGAGGTGGCCCCCATCTTGTGGACGGTGTAGGACGTGATTATATCAACTTGCGAGCTGACCAGGAACTAAGTTCTGGCGCCGTTGATCCGCTAGATTTGGTTGGATGCTGTTGGTAAGTTGCTGAACCCAACGAATACATTCTGAAATCGGATGGGGTGAATGGATTAGGGTGCCCCTCTCGCAGGGGAGAGCAGGGACTGCCTCCAAGGGAAAGGGGGCCACTGGTGAAGCTATACCACCATGTACCAACATCATACATACATACATACATACATACATACATACATACTGGATTGTGGGCGCCCTGGGACACCTACCACCGCTCCGGGATATCGAGACCAGCCCCCTGTCCCCCGGACCGTGGTGCTGGGCAACCGCGTTGTGGGGTAACCCGTTGCTCCCCAATACCGGCGAGGCAGACCCAGACAGTTTGAACCGCCGCCCGGGCCTGGAGGCGCACTTCGTGGGGATCGCTACATGCAGGAAACTGCAAACGGTGGGCGACCTAGTGCGGGTCTGGGACCTAGTGGTGCATACTCGAGTGGCCTCCCTCCCCAGGTCGACCTGGCCCGAATGGGTCAGGACACACCTCGACCCATCAACCCCAGCACCCACGCGGGACAGGTCAGCGACCCTGGCAGCCCTTAAGACGCTACATGGCGCTATCAACCCGGCCTGGCTCGAAGCTGCAAGAGCAGTGGAAAACCAACAGCAACAGCAACCCCAGCCGCAGGCACAGCTGCAGCCACAGCTGCAGCCACAGCCGCAGCCGCAGCCACAGCCGCAGCCACAGCCGCAGCCGCAGCCACAGCCGCAGCCACAGCCGCAGCCACAGCCGCAGCCACAGCCGCAGCCACAGCCGCAGCCACAGCCGCAGCCACAGCCGCAGCCACAGCCGCAGCTACAGCCGCAGCCTCAGCCGCAGCCACAGCCGCAGGTACAGCCACAACAGCTGCAAACACAACCACAGCTACAGACACAGCATCAGCCGCAGCCGCAACAG